TTTCAAACAATCTCTCCAAATTTCTATAGGCAATTTATGTAATTTCATTGGCATACACATTTTTCCATTTCAATAACAAAGCCACAAAGATTTTTACATTCACAGACAAATCTTTAATACTGCAAAAGAAAAGTAGCACGCCCATATAAACTCACAAATTCCAAATAGGGGCATGAATCTCTGATTTTTCTCTTCAGAGTCAGTAAGAATGCATTCCAGATAAAGGAAAAGGGAGGCATGGAGCTCTCCTTTGCCAGCTCCGTTCCTCCACTCAAACATATAAGTTTTATTCAGACACAAGATGCTGTATTAGCCAAGTCTCTTCCATTCTGCTTTGATATTTTGAGCCCAATTGAATACGACTGATCATAGCTCTCAGCATACATTTGTGGGCAGATTTTTGCTTGCACACACAGTACATACATCTTTGATCAAGACCAGCTGAGAACACTGGCCTCAGTAGGCAGACTTGGCAGAATTCTGATCCTTGGCTATTCTATCAAGGCTAAGGGGTTCATACTACTTTCTAGAAGATTTTTGCTCATGGAATAAATTCCATATAAGTTTATACAAGGGAAGTAGAGTGAAAACAACTAGAATAATTTCTGTTTCTTTTTGATTATAGCAAAACAGACTGAACACAAAGTATGGTTTATAAATTCTAAGCTTATGATCACAGACACGACCTCAAAACCATGAATGCCAAGTAAACACACACCAAGTTAAATGTCAGAGTCAAATAAAATACGCATCAGAATTAATGATACATATTTAATGATACGCATAATCACAGTAATTGCTCAACTAGATGGGAAGAGAGGCAAAAGACAAATTTTATCAATCTCACAAATCAGCTGGCTCTGATGGCCACCCATCCTCTTCAATCCTACTCTGACTGTCAAAGGACAAAGGCCCTCGTCTGGGAGGGAAGGCCCAGGGGCCACAAATACTCATTTATTCTCTATATTCCTTCCACAGGCCGGAAACATAGGCTAGGGAATGTGACGTAAAGAAAATTCTCCCTGCATAATTCCCACTCAGAGGATCAAAAAAGCCACCCAGAGTACCAGAAACATGTCTTTCATTGGCATTATTCTAGCACCCGGCACAGAGTCAGGACCAATTTGTTAAAAGGATGACCTGTACATGGATTGGGGTATTTGCATCATGAGATGAGGGAGAAGATTGGCATGGCAGTGGTGAGTCTTAGAAATGTACCTCCTAGTACATATTTGTTAATTGGTTTGTTTTCCTTACATCTAGTACCAAAAGAAATGGGAGTTTTAAGGAATAGGAGGGTATTGTGGTCCTAGAGAGAGAGTATAAATTAGAAAAGGTGTCCCCCAAAAACCCACTTCTTGTATCAAGAACAGGTCTTATTCTCATCACAAGGAAAAAAACATTTTTTTTTGTATCTATATGAGGTGATGGATGTTAACTAAACTTATTGTGGTAATCATTTTACAATATATGTAAGTCAAGTCATTATGCTGTACACGTTAAACTTATACAGTGCTGTATGTCAAGTATATCCAAATAAACCTGAAAGAAAAAGATAATTAAGGGCATAATGTATGCAAAATTCCTGGGCATGTGGTGAACACGCAATAAATGTCACTGGTAGTGGTCCCATCCACTCCCAAATCCATTCACAGTTGGCTGAGCCAGCAGTGGGGATAACATACTGGCAATGGTCTGGCTCTATGATGCCACTCCTAGGGGAGAGCCCAGGAGTGTGTTTTGCTTTGATTGGGAGCGGGCAGGGTACAAGAATGCTTATAGCCTGCTTAGGATCTATGCTTAGTTGAACTACGCCCAAGAGGAGTTTTAGGATGCGTTCCAAAATGGAAATATGTGGAACTTTCCATCCAACTATAAAAATTTAGAAAAATGAGAAGAGAATTTCCATCCCATCTGTGTTATAAATGACCCACTGAGGTTCTTTCCTAAAAGCAAAGAATGGTGACATTTCTACCAATTTATATTGATATTCTGGTCCTTTTCAGCTGACAGTGCAAATTAAGATCAATTAATACCTCCCTCTACCTTCTTTTGAATGTCTTATAATTGCCAAGGACAATCATCTCTTTATAAATTACACAGGGCAAGTGTTGATCAAATCACAGGAGTAATTTCACTATCAGACAAAGCCTGTGAAATCCTCTTGTGGACAGAAAACATTTTCATTGGATAACAGAAATAATGGCCCTAAAATGGCTTTCCTGAAAAATGAAAATAATGTGCAGTATATTGTTTACATAGAAAGAAGGTGTTACAGGATAATCATTCTCAGAGTTACCATACTATGGGATTAAAGATAACTCATCAAAGTACTTTAAAACAGCACAAGTTATTAAGAGCATAATAACAAACTTAGTAATAAAAGTTCATACATCTAATTAAAACATACAGTTTTCATAGAGGAAACCTATTAAAGACAGTTGTGTCTTAAGTGCATTTTGGAATGCAGGCTTATAATGGGTAGTTAGGATAGTAAGCCTTCACTCTGCCACTGATTACTATACACACACACACATACACACACACACACTGTGTGAGAAGCCTTTCTTATGTGGGATCTAAACACAAAGTCCTATTTGCTGATAGATCTAGATCAACTTCCACAGCAACGCTGGTGTTAGAAGGCAGAAGTGATATTTCCTTATACCCTAACCAATTCCTACCAAGCTTTTGCTCTATGTTGAAAAGCCTTGGGTGGTACTGGAGCTTTAACTTGCAACGGAAGGCAGCACGGTGTGGTAAACTTTTTTTTTTTTAAATCAGGAATCCTGATTCATGGTCCTGCTTCATCCACTGACCAAAGCTATGACTTTGGACACACCAGTTCATGCCCCTGTGGTTTGGTTTGCCCCTTGGCCACTTGTGCTTCTACACTAAAATCTATCTTATAGAAAGTTCTGAAATCACTGGCTTCCTACATCTTTCTATGGAACACGGTGGTTTTAAAATATGTCCACAACTTCTTTGACACTTCTTCCTTTGAAAGGTGGAGTCGACCTCACTCTGGATTTTGTGACCACTGCAATGAACAGACGAAGCAGAAGTGACTGTGTGTGACCTTCAAGCTAGATCATTAAAAGTAATATGCTCTTTCCCTCACTTGCCCTCACTCTCGCTCTCTCTCCCTCTCTCCCGGGCAGATGCCTTTGGATCCCTGAGCCACTGTCTCAGATATCTGGCTACTCTGAAACCGCCATGCTAGAGAAAACCACATAAAGAAACCACACAGAGACAGAGAGAGGGGTCCAAGGAACATCGGTTGTTTGAATCTTGCCCCCCAGATGACTGACAGATGAGTGAAGAAGCCTTTGAGATTATGCTAGCCCCAGCCACTGTCTGACTGCAGTCTCACAGGATGCCTTTAACTAGAACTACTCAGCTAAGCCACTCCTGAATTCTTGGTCCACAGCAACAGTGAGAGCTAATAAGTGATTACTGTTGTTTTCAGTCACTAACTTTTGGGGTGATCTCTTATGCAGCCACAGTAACTGGAAGAGGAACTATGATGGAATCAAAACTAGAGGGGAAAAAAAATGCCATCCCCAAGGTCAAACAAGGAAATCTTTAGCATCCACAAGAACGACAGGAAAGAAGACTTGGAAGTCTTCAAGAATGATGAAGGTAGGTATGATTCACCAATAAATGCCACAAAAAACAACACTAAATGATCACCTTTTTATTTCCAAGCTGGGTGACCTTTATGAACATTTTCCAACATTCATAGTTAAAAAAAACATAGTAAGAATGATCCTAAGTGGAACCATAAAAGCAGCAGCAAAGCCAAAGGTAAAGGAAGTAGCTGGGGCATCATCAGTCATTCTATGTGGGCACTGACACCATTGCTCATTGCCTTCCTGCCTCATACCTTTCTCAATAGACTGTGCAGTTGATAAGTGCAAGTGTTTCCCCAAACACACCTCCAAATAACTCTGAAAAGTAGGACTTCTCCTTTTAAAGGGACAAGGTAGAGAGCCGGAGTCCAGTCAGCAAAGGTGGCACCTATCATTGGAGCAGAGACAGTGAGTTCGGGATACCCCGTGTATCCTGGTGAAGCTGAACTAAGGGCGAGGCCCAGGAGATGGAAAATGGGAGCCTGCAGGCAGGATGCAGCCACAAGCCCACATTTTTTCTTCCTAGCCCACCTAGCATTTTCAAAACAGGAAATGTCACATAAAAAATCTAGATTTCTAGCTTCTCTTGAAACACTGGAGATCTAGCAACCCTGGGTATGCATTTCCACCTGGTCTCAATCAGCTGGAGCTGACTAGCTGTTTCTCTCTTTAGACAGAACATGTCCTCCTATTTGCCACAATCCTCACCACTCCCTATTCTATACCTGGGCTACTTCATTCATTTTCTTTATATTTATGGTCCCTGTTGGCATTTGAGTTTGTGTCTTGTGACCTATACCAACAGAGGAGTTTCAGACTTCTCTGAAACACCCCAGGTGTTTCTTGATCACTATAGATTTGCAATTATTAGTGGTTTGGAAATTCCAGTAAATTCTGCTGTGGTGCCCTTGCCAACTTCTGTTCCTAACCACAAATGCGGGACCATGACAAACCCATAAGGCTAAGAGTTATGTAAGTCATCTTACAACACTGTTATTGAATATTGGGGTGCTAAGTGTGCCTCCGGAAGTACATACTGAGCTTATTTGAGACATCCAAATTATCTTTAAAATACAAATTGTGTCCATACACAGGTCTAACATTACCAGCCCAAATTCATATACAAAAGAGTTAATTGTCAGCTCTAAGATTAGGATGGACAGAAGTGAAACAAAGAGATCTATATATTGTCAAGTGAAACAATTTAATCACTTACCATGGAATATCTTCAAGGTGGTTTCTAGTGGGGACTTAATTAGGCACTGAGGGCATTTGCTGAGAGATAAGACCAGCACTTCCACGTTTAGGTGTAGGTGTAGGTGTAGGTGTGTGCGTGCTAGAGAAAACAAACAAGATGAAACAACTCACCAATTCCAGGCACTGCCTGTGGCCATAGGCAGCAGCGTAATGTACGCTATTGTACCCTTCCTTGTCCCGGATAGAGGGATTTGCCTCATTTTGAAGAAGAAACTCTAGACATCTGTAAGTATAAAAATTAGGTGTTATTTTTTAAAACATCTCTGGACCAAAAGGGATAATTAATGTAAATTTCCTCCTAATTATGAATGCTCCACAAAGCATTTTGTGAGTTTGTTTCTTTAAAAATCCTACAGGCACGGGGTTTTATTTACTGAAAGTTTTATGTGTGTTTTCTGTAGCTCTCTCTATTTCGGCTTAAAATAGCCATTCTAGAATTCAGGAAAGGCTTTAGGAACAAAAGGGTAATTAGGTCTTTTCCTTCTCATCTTAGGTACAGAACCTGTCTGTCATCAAGATTACTGAATAATAAGTGTGAGACAGAGCTCCAGGTTCAAGAGATGAAGTCTCAAACGTAACAAAGAAGCGGTGAGGCCATCGTAACAGGGCAAACCTCAAGAGAGGGGCTTTATTTTTAACCTTGCTGTTGGAGACTCTGAGATCTAAAGGTTGGAAAACGAAAGTTAAAAAGAGTAAGGAAACAAAAGAACCCAAGAATAGCCTAAACAATAAAAAGAAGGAATGGATAAACATTTTAAAAATATAAAGGATTAATTCAGGAACCACATATGAAGAAAGAGGCTTCAACTGCACCATTAGGAACATAGACTAGCATAAAATAATAAATAATAAATTTTAAAAGCCTTTTCTGACAGTTGTAATTTTTCAGAAAAAGCCACAAACTTTGCAATAGGTTAGAGGAAGGGGCATGGCTCCACCTTTGCTGAAGAGCCCCAAACTCTAGTACACCAGGACTCAGGGACATAATGAGTTCTGTTCGGGACTATGGCAAATGGCACAATTCTGCTGTACAAGAGGACGGACGAGGCCGGGAGCAGCGCTCCATAAGCTCCGATTTATTCCTGTGACAGTGGGACAAACACGTCCTTTACAAGGCCACGCTGATTCAATTTCATACTCAAATAAAAATTTTAAGATGTTAAATATAAGCCCGTACATTAAATAAGAACTTCCAATGGAAAATTTCTATAGTTTACTCAAAAACTTTAAAATGATATTTACCTATCTTTTGGCATAAGACAAGAGGAGTAAATAAATCACATATAGAGACAATTAAAACAGATATTTTATTTCTAGAAAAACCGATGAAAGACATAATTTTTTAAACCGAATACCTACATGTCACATGATTTATCCATAAAATGCTCCATAATAAATCAAACTACTATTGGAGTCCTGATAGCATGCTGTCTTTGGTGGTGGTTTGCACCTTATAAGGAAGTCCTTTTTTATTTTGGTAATTAAATGCCCATGGACAGGATCCCACGTGTGACTCATTTTAAACCAAATCCGGCTCCTTAAACAAAATCATTCAATAGAAATAGCATTCTAGTAGACACACAATCCCGGCTTCTGAAAGGATTACATTCTAAAAATCAGTTGATACATTTAATGTGTAATTTGGAAAACACTTGGAATTGCTCCCAAAGAGTTGTTTAACCCAGAATATAGCTGAACTATACTACCAACAGTACTATTAGAAATAATAACAGTACTATAGAATTTGAATATTCTCCACATTGTTTCTAGAGGAAAATGAATTCAAGTTCTAACTGGGAATGCTTATCTTTTCTCCTCCCAGACCCTGATTAGCAATTTTGGCACCTAAGCCGCAAAATGAAGAAATGCACCTTAGGTCAGTGGGGTATTTGGACAAGGGGAGTAGTCTCTCTCTGCCTAAAAGAAGCTCCCAGGCAGGCTGGTCCCCACCTCCCCTTGCCTCTCCTGCCCTCCCCATCAGCCCTGAGGGGGCTGCTCTGGCCCAGAGCAAGCTGGCATTTCACTGGAGAAGGGAGCACTTTCCAAGGTAGCTTAAAATTCTAGTCTTTTAATACCACTATTTTAATTTTGGAGTATTAGGGCAAAACCTTGGTCATTCTGCTTTACTCACAGCTGTGTTTCCTGTCCCCACCCTGGCAACAGTCAAAGCTAAGTCCCACAACCCGCCCCGGGGCACACTGTCTAACTACACCCTTCCACAATGGTCTGGACATGGAAGGAGAGCCCAGTGGGTGGTGGGAAGACCTGCGAGTGGACACAGCATTCAGGTCACAGAGAAACTGGTTCCTCTGATGACCGGAGAAGAGAACAAACAAATTAAGGACAGTGTGTGTGCAGACTCTCAGAGGACTATATCCACGGGGTCCTGAGGGCAGGACACCAAGTGTGGGCACCACTCATTCGTTTGCTCATTTACTCAGGAACAGTTACTGAACTCTACCCGCGTGCCGGGCGCTACACGGGGCAGAGCACACCCTCCTCACTGTGACTCCTGGGGCAGAAAGGACTCTCAGAGGATGAAGCACAAAAGCTTCCCAAGTATCAACACCGCGGGTGGGTGTGGTCACTCTGGCCCCATCACAGCTATGGCTAAGTCCTTGTCAGAAGCCAGAGGGAGGCAGGTGGGACGAGGTGGGACGGGAGCTGCTGTGCGCAGGAGGCAGGGGGCTGTTTGTAAGTTGATGCTTTTGTGTTGGGCAGGGAGGGAGAGCACAACTGGTGTATTTCACACCGAAATCTCAAAACATTTATTTATAGGATCTGCTAAATAGTCATCCCCAGGCCATAAAAGGAGAGCCTAAGGCCCTGAGAGGAGGCTTAATATGTCCCCTGAGGTACATGATATACGGCAGAGTCAGAAATGATATTTAAGACACCTGGTCCTAAAAACTGCTGACCAACCACAGTGATGGTTCAGGCAAAGCTTACAATCTTAGGAAGAGTTCCCTGTGTGAAAATAGCATAATTGAAGGATGTATTAAAAGAACAGGTTCTTCTTCATTAAAACAAGTCCAGGGCCGGCCCCAGGGCTTAGCGGTTGAGTGCGCGCACTCTGCTACTGGCTGCCCGGGGTTCGGATCCTAGGCGCGCACTGACAAACCGCTTCTCCAGCCATGCTGAGGCCGCGTCCCACATACAGCAACTAGAAGGATGTGCAGCTGTGACATGCAAGTATTTACTGGGGCTTTGGGGGAAAAAAAGGAGGAGGATTGGCAATAGATGTTAGCTCAGAGCCATTCTTCCTCAGCAAAACGAGGAGGATTAGCATGGATGTTAGCTCAGGGCTGATCTTCCTCACAAAAAAACAAAAACAAAAACAAGTCCACATCACTTCCTCAAGATCCCAAGTGAAACCCCCACATAGTAAGGCTGGCCCACGTGGCAACCCAGAGAGGCAGACAGAGCACCAGTAACTGAAGCTTGTGCTTAAGCGAAGAAACTTACAATGCGGCTTCCTTTTCCTTCAGCTCTCTGGCTCTTTCAAGTTCTTCTGAATTTTCATGGGCGTTTCCTAAGATAGTCTTACTTCTCAGCATAAGGGAAAGAAAAAAAATTACAATTAACTTTTTTAATGGCAAAGTTGCTAAGGATTTTGGCGCAATTTATATCTCAACAATTTTCTTCCCAACCCACAAGAAATGAGCACTACTGATTTTTCACTGAGGATATGCATGGCTCTCTCCAAGGCCTTCCAGTAAATCTATTCTCTCCCAAGGAATCCAGTTGAGAACATGACTTTCCTAAAACTTCCATCCAGGTATCAGTGATTAAGACAACATTCAAATTACCCATCCTTCCTGAAATATGCTAAACTCCCCAAGTAAAAAGGAGGCAATTCAGCTTAAACTTCTCTGACTCCTACCACATTCCCTGCTGCCTCCTTGGCAGCTCAGCATCTTATTTATCCAGGAATGGGGTCCCAGTCACCCCTCAACTGCCAGGATAATTCTTCATCATCCAGGATTCCTTTTCCAGCTCTGAACAGATGAAGACTTGTTCCCCTATGCTATTCCAAGGGACTAGCACAGAGCCTGGCACATGGAAGATGCTCAGTAAGTGTTTGTTGAACTTGTTGATTACACCTGTATGGCTATGGGATCCTGCGTGCTACATTGGACTTGCCAGTATTATATAAACAGGAAGAGAAAAGCAAGTAGTCTTTTCCAAACTGTGGAAATATGGATGATAATCCATTACTGAATTCTGAAATCAATTTAGTGGGCTGCAGTCAGTATTTTTTATTTTTTGTGTGTGAGGAAGATCAGCCCTGAGCTAACATCTGTCACCAATCCTCCTCTTTTTGTTGAGGAAGATTGGCCCTGGGCTAACATCCATGCCCATCTTCCTCTACTTTATATGGGACGCCGCCACAGCGTGGCTTGACAAGCGGTGCGTAGGTCCGCGCCTGGGACCCAAACCCGCGAATCCCGGGCCGCCAACGCGGAGCTCATGCACTTAACCACTACGCCACTAGGCCGGCCCCAGTCAGTATTTTTTTTAATGAAATAAAATAAAAATATCAGAATGCACCACACATAGTAAAAGTATATATGGTTTTATGAAATTTTTGTTTCCATGTTACATACATATACATAAAACATATATGTGAGGAGCGTGTGCACGGAGTCATGATGTAAAATGTATTCCTCACTGTGAGTCATTGTCTAAAATGTTTGAAAGCCATTGCTCTACAAGAAAAGGAGGTAGCACTGACCCAGAATCAATTCCACAGTACAGGGCAGCAAATAACTCAATAGTTCTCCAAACAGGGTCACCAAAATGTATCCTTATGAAAGAGGCCCTGGTCCTTAAGTCTTTGAGAACAGTCTCGTAAACTGTGGGCGCCTTTCCCATCGTTTCCCCGTAAGTCAGTTCACTTATTTCTGCTTTCCATTCCTAGCCACCTAGAATCCAAACACCTCCAGCTCCTGAAAGAGCAGCCACACCCAGGTTTGGAACAATAGTGCCTATTTTACACACTGACGCTGCATGTGAAGGCTACTGGGATTATGCATAGATGGATATTTTCAACGTATGACATATATATTAGCAAATGTAAGTTTTACAGCAAATGAAGCATTTAAGTGGTGATGATGAAAACTGCAGTATATGACCAAATAAATTACAACAGATTTTGGATGAACTGATGACCCGGGCTTGACAGCCTCACTTGGCATTCAATTCAAAGAACAGAGAAGGGAAGTAACTGTGCAGTGACACGTAATAATCAAACATAAAGAGAGCAGAAGGGGAAAACGGGGGTTAGGGATGAAGCAATTCTAACTCCTCTGGGTCTGGGTGAGAGCGATTCTTCATTCACAGTTTCCGTGAGGCAGTGTGAAGAAAACTGAGCAAACCCTCTCCCTCCCCGGCCCCACTCCCAGTGGAAACGTGAGCAAGGCTGTTGTTACTTTCTATCCATGTCTGATGCAGCAGCATAGTGCAAAGCTGTCCGTCCCCAGTCATCTGTTTCATTAACGTTGGCCCCTGTGGTTACTAATGTCTCAATACAGTGGAAATGACAATTTGCAGCTGCATAGTGCAGAGGGGTCCTGAAAAACAAACAGCAATTTATTACTTCATTCAGTCTGAAAAACAGACCCATCATCAGCACTAGCACCAACAGCAGTATTCCTGGGGGTGTGGAAAGCTCTTCGGCTCTCCGAGTGTGGAGGCCAAGGGAATGCCTGCGGTTTGACTTTATAAGTTGGAGCCAAGGCTACAAAGATAGCGGCTTCAGACAAGGCCATCCACCTGCAGATCTATCCTTTCTCTGCATTCCTAGGGCCTATCCTGCTTCAGGTCTACATTACTGCTCATTCGGACTATTGAAATACCATCTCTATTGGCCTCTTTAGCTCTAATCAAACTTCCATCGAATTTCTAGTTGTTATGAATGAAGAACTGGGTTTTCCAAGGCCCGATACCCACATGTGACAATCTCGTTCTAAAACCTTTGGTCCTCCCCACTGAGCAAAGCCTTGATTCCTTAGTCTGGAATTGAAGACGTTCCCAAACAGGTCCCAATCTACCTTTATAAAGTATCTGTCTCCTCCGGGTGAGCCCATTACTGTATCCAAACTAAATGACCTTAGGTTTTCCTGACCACATCCATACTTCCTCTGCCCTTCCCCATGGTGTTTTCTTCCCTGGAACGCCCCTTCCTGAACCACTTCCACCCATCAACTTCAAAACTTCCACCCACCAAAACCCTAAAATTTCCTAAGTTCCAGAAGTTCTTTTTCTCTTCTGTCTGAGATTGTGCAGCTCCTGCCTGGGTCTCCCTCGAGCTCCCATCACATATTGCCTTGACTTCACTGGTGTTGTCTCATTTTCTCTGCTGAACCAAAAGCTCCTTGACGGTAGGGATGTAGGTTACCAGGAAGAACAATGCACAAGGAATCAGAAGCCCTGGGTTCTAGTCTGGGTGGATCTGCTAGCTGGGCCCAACCAGGTTCCCTCTCTGGGCCTGAGCTTCCTCATCTTTATTTCATTAAGGACCTTTGAGCAGCTGTCCCCTAAGGTCCATTCTGGGTCTAAAATTCCGTGTACATGTATAACTCGGTTAGTTTTTCTGGGCACAGCTTTCTCATCTATTACAAAGGATAAGCATCTCCAATTCCCCCAGGAGTTACTAGAAGAACCAAAGTGAGTAATATCTGGAAAATACAAGCACCTTGTCAAGGGTAAGGCACTGCAGAAATATGAAGTAATTTGTTTTATATTACTTATTTTTCGTCCTCAATTACCTAACAGTTTATCTGGTATGCCTAGTCAATATTCAGAGAATAACAATCAAATAGAATACTAGAAATAAAGTAACTTTATTTCAAGAACTATTTATCAATTTTCAGGTACCACTATTTTATGTTAGTAGCCAATTTATGGGCTCTCTTACTAGTTGATTTTCTCCTCTTTCATCCAAAAAAAAAGGAAATTATAAGTATTTTACATATTGGATTGCTTATGTTTTTTTTTATTGAGGTCATAATAGTTTATAATGGTTTGCTTATTTTTTTTCTGTTTGTTTTTTGTGAGGAAGATCAGCTCTGAGCTAACATCCATGCTGATCCTCCTCTTTTTGCTGAGGAAGACTGGCCCTGGGCTAACATCCATGCCCATCTTCCTCCATTTTATGTGGGACGCCGCCACAGCATGGCCTGACAAGCAGTGCATCGGTGTGTGCCTGGGATCCGAACCCGGGCCGCCAGCAGCGGAGTGTGTGCACTTAACCGCTACACCACGGGGCCGGCCCTGGATTGCTTATGTTTTGATTAAAATTATGAAAATTATTAGGTATCAACCATGTGGCAGAGTCCAGAGATAAAGAGAAAATGAGACCCAGTCCTTGTCCTCAGGAGACCCACAGTCAGGTGAGGAGAGAGTCAAGGAAACAAAGAGTCCACTAGACAGTGTGATGTGTGCTGCAGTCATGGAGTATGGAAGGTGCTAGTGCAGCAGAGAGGAGGCGCATCCCTGCCAGAGTGGGAGGGAGATGTCACTTGACATAAATCTGGAAGGATGAGTAGGAGTTGTCCTAGGTAGGTTGATAAGAGGAGAAATCTGTAGCAACTCCAAGAGCCAGGATGCATGTGGAGAGGAGGGTTAGAGAGATGCTATGGAAAAAATTAAATTAAATTAAAAAAAAAATATATATATATATATCCATGTACCAGCTAGTATTATGGCATGATTTAGCTATGCAAAGGACCATTAAGGTAAGAAAAGTTCTATGACCCAGCCTAATAGCCGAAAGGGCTATTAGCGGTGTGTATGTTTGTGTGTGTGTGTGTGTGTACGTGTGTGTATGTTTAATGTTGTAATCATGTCTAAAGATTTATCCCAAGATCAAATGTTCAACAAATACAATAAAATGCTCCAGATCTTGTGACCAAATTCCAGGTTAGGCGGGCTAAAGCCTTCTACTCTGTTACAAATAGAATTTTTTTAACTATATTCATGTAGGAGATTAAAAAATTGGAAAGAGAAGAGAGACCGTTGGCACTTCTAAACAGCAGCCGTGAGAGGAGATGCTTTCCTCGTGGCTTGTGCCTGCTTTGCCGGCATTTCGCTACAAGAAGGGATTTCCTTCTGAGGACGGAACCTCCCCTGGCTAGCTTCCCTGTTTACCATTTCCACATAACATGATTTCCAGACGGACTGCTCCCCACTCCTTTTATTTAGGCACTTGAAGCGGAGTTCCCTGTTTACGTACCTCCCACACTTGTCCTTTTTATGGAAATCTGCTCCGCTGCTCTGCAAGAGTTTTATACATTCCACATTACTAGAAAGACAGGGAAAACATCATTAAGATGGTACAGGTCAACTGCTGGGCTATCGTCAGAAAGAGCTGTTTTCTGCAGAGTGCAGACAGAGGTGAAATGATAGCTCCAGCTTTAAATTCTGCCAGCACAAAAATAACCTGAACATATCAGAGTAATGCCATACTGTAAGGAGCTAAAGTTCCTAAAATTCCTTTTTCAAAGTTAATAAATCAATACATTAAAGACCTTGATGAAACATTTTCAATTCTGTGGCAAAGGAATGTAATGATTATTACGTGATTAAACCTCTCAGTGATGGTTTCATTGTCTATCCTAAATTTTCTTTCAAAACCATCAAGAGTTTATGAAACAACCCCTTAAACCTATAACAATTTCATGTCACCTTTAAACAATGAGCCAGAGTGGATAAGCATTACCTTTTATCACAGCAGAATGAATTCACCGTGATAGCCATTTTCGACCCAGACTCTCCTTAACGGAAAATAAAACTGCTGCATTTCCCTGTCTTTTTAATCTAGATAAATAAATGTGCAGAACCAAGGCTGAAAATGATGTAATGGAACACAGTGATCTTTGAAAGCTTCTTTGTCATTCACGGAAGTGATAAATCAAGTTTAGTAGAGAGAAAAGGACCTGTTGAAGTGAATTTTTCTATTGAAGGGCATGTAGCTAAATATTAATTCTAATAGGGATTTCAGACATGAATCCAGAATGGTGTGTTGCCACATTCTGTACAGGTCTGATAGTTTTAAAGACATGGGCATAAAAAGAGACAACCATCCATCATTGTTTTAAACTTGGGATGCTAAGAAGTGGCCTAGGATTTACCATTTTATCATCATTTAAATAAGAAAAATGATTTCATTAATGATAAACCTGAGCAGGGCTCTCCCCACCCCATATCCACCCTTTATAGCCACTATTCTCAGAGAACTAGCTGTTTCAGTCATAAAATATAGGAACCTTCTGAAACCGTTCTTTGTGGGTGTAACATGCCTGTTGATACAAAGCACCTGTCTCTTACTGAATGAAGCCAAAAGATCAAAGGCAGAGACAGATCCAAGTTGTGGGGCTCATAAAGCTCATACCATCTGTGAGGATGGGGTGGGGAGAAGGAGGTTCTTTGAAAAAATTACAAAATTATGAATATAAAACTAGATACAAGACTTCAGAAGGGAACCATGCAAATAAGGGGCCCTAAAGCTCTCCAGTCAATCCACCTCTGATAAATAGGTAATGCCTTTGGTAATAAACAGATGACAAATGGAGAAGCATTGCTGTTCCTTAAGGACTAGGAAATGGATTAAGAACCAACACCCTGTCCAAACAAGGTCATCTGAGAGAGGCCATGTTTGGTCAATGTGTGGTCATATATCAACAATATACCCATCAGAGCCCTAATCTAACCACTGATATGGAAAAGAGTATCTGATGAAAAATTCTCTTTGCAACTTAAAAAAAAAAAAAGGCAAGGATTAAGCCACTTCTTGCCTATCCTTCAGATTTTCTTCCCCTTTGTTCACATTTAATCATTATAAAGACGTAAAAATCAGCTTTGAAAGAAGGACAAAAACGTCTCTAAGTGAACATGAATTAACTCAATCTTGGATTCACTTGATCATCACCCACCTACCAGGAACCAAAAGGAAAAATGTAGGAACAAATCTCAAATTATCATCTTTTGGTGCAGGGGGTACCATGTAGATGCATATTCTATAGGCTACAAATCTACAATTTAAAAAAAATAGAAAAGAGAGAGAAGAAAACAAAAGAAAAACTATTTTCTATATGAGATGGGCTAACAATTGTTCTTTGGAAGAACAAAAAAACACAAGTAATCTAGAAATGCAACATAGTGATATTTGGTATTGGTAGAAATGATTCTTTTTTACTAAGGGAATTGCCTTTGATTTACAGACAACTTGAATCAATTAAGAGGAATTAGTAATTAAGTCATGAAATTCTACCTACTCACCCTCCTGCAGCAGCAGCATGAAGGCACGTTCGTCCAAATTTATCTGGGGTGTCTATGTCAAAGCCTGCAGACAGCACGTGCTCATTACTAAACAAGGATACTATGCTATACTTTTGTCCTAGTTAAACCACAAGAAACATTGCAGAGACAGAAAAATCAGTTAGTAGAAAAACCAGAACGCAAGCAATTGTAGTCAGAAAGAGGTTGTCATGGAAACGAATGGTAACTGCTCAAGCTTGGCAATTTTATAGGAAGAACCGTGAAGTCAAGAAGAATTTATTTTCACATTCAGCCCTGGGTGAACCACAGCCCCATATTTCAATCCCAGGATAGAAATTTATGAAACCAATTTGAGATAAGTAGGGCAATAGACAGGCAGACAGAACACATGGAGAAAATGTGGAAGGCAAAGGAGGAATCTTAACATGCCGGAATAGGTGTTTTCTTAAGTGTGTTATTAGCTTTCAGTTGGTATAAGATTTGGGAAACATGCTTCCATGCAGGGATTATTTTTAAACATGCCAAAAGCAGTGAAAGCAGAATCAACCATAGGTAAAGTACTTAAAGGAAAAAGAATGCCTCTGGAATATCTGTTGAATTAATTCATAAACAATCTTTGCCTTGCAGACCTCTATCACCTTTGAAAGCCAGGAACTTGTTAACACACGGCGGTTGGCAGAAGCAGTGATAAGAAAGATTAACAAAGCTCCAAATCAGAAAGAATTTCTTGGTTTCAAATAGGCCTGCATTAAAAAAATAAAAATGAGGGGCCGGCCTGGTGGCATAGTGGTTAAGTTTGCACAGTCTGCTTCAGCGGCCCGGGGTTCACAGGTTCAGATCCTGGGCACAGACCTATGCACTGCTTATCAAGCTGTGCTGTGGCATGCGTCCCACATATAAAGTAGAGGAAGATGGGCACGGATGTTAGCCCAGGGCCAATCTTCCTCAGCAAAAAGAGGAGGATTGGCAACAGAGATTAGCTCAGGGCTAATCTTCCTCACCAAAAAACAAAAATAAAAATGAAACCTAGTTGGAGGGGATCAACGTAGTGATTTTTCAGAGCCCACAGAATAGGAAGGCAACATGACATTTTCTACCATTGGAATGTGGGGGATTGGGCCTTCTTCCTTTGTTAAAAATATTAAATGTTAAGCCACCATTTTAAGCCTCAAAGATGTTCCCTCCTCTGACAAACTTCCTGCGAGCCATGGCCATCCCTGCCTGTCTCTCACTCTGCATCTCCCAAGCTTTAACATGAAAAGCAGACCAGACTCTCATTCCGGGACGGGAAACTGACAGTCAAACAGCTTCGACAGCAAGGACTGCTGGGAGCTGTCACACGCAGTTAGCTGTGGACACAACTCATCCCGCCAAGTCAGGTAACGGAAGACAGGAAGCACAGGCAGCCACTCACGCTGACCAGACACCGGGAGCCAAGTGGCTCCTTTACAGGACACATGAAGCCTCCTCTGTGGTGTGGAGTTACTTACCGGCTGATAACAACTTTCTGCAGCAGTCAGAGTGAGCGTTTAGGGCGGCTAAATGCAAGGGGAACATGCTATGGATTCCACACCTGAGGAGGAAAAAGAAACAGAGCAGCTCACAGAAACAGATCTCAAGACACAGGCCGAAGGACAATTACCTGTCTAGAAGTTCTCGGATGAAAATTAAATCTGCGACTCCTCACTTAGGGACTCTCGGCTGAAATAATTTGGTAATTCTTCCACTCAAGAAATAATTATGCAATCATTTTCCATCTTAAAATAATAAAATCCTCAACCTAAACCAGAATTTAAATCCCATAACAATAAGAATGTATATTTTTAAGAAAATGTTTCACACAAACCGTGACTCTTGATAGTTAAAATTAATTTCCCTTTCTTTTTTCTTTCAGCTTATCAATTTTATGTCTCATTCATTCATCTAGTCAACACTTGTCTAAGCATCTGATACTACGCTAAGCGCTAGAGATAACAAGACAAACTCTCCACTTTGAACAGCAACCTCATTCCTTGAATTGATAAATATTTATTATTAACCTATTATGTGCCAAGCACTTTGCCAAGAGTTAATAATGGCTATATTATTGAAAATAAAATTTTGGATGAGAATAAAAGCTAATGTTTACCTTTTGCAGGTGAAACTCATCTTCCTAATAGACTTTTATGTTGCACATTAACCCATACCAGGATACCAGTCACAAAAACGCAGTTAGGAGAAATAACCATTATCTTGCATACATTTCAGAAATCTAATATATTTCCCTTAACAGTATTAGAGAAAGAATCTAGAAAAGGACTTTTTAGAGTGATCTGCCACCATAACACAGTCCCCAGCATGAACCCTTAAGGGAAGGCAGCCTTCTGATGGTAGTGCTTTTTGCCTTCAGAATTAAATCCCCCTCCTCTTGCCCAACACCTCTCCTGGAACAAGGGCCCAAAGCCGTATGCTGAGTTGTAGTTCACAACAAACAGCATCATCGGGAGGCTCCTGTGTACTTTTAAGCATGTATAATGTTAGTGATCACTTTTCATAACACCTCATTATATTCAAATAATATATTTCCGATTTTGTAAATCCTCTGCATAACACAAGCAAGTATGTATATTCATACCTGCAGATTAATTACGCAAGTTCCTTCTCCAACACAAAGCGGCCCGTTTTCAGATTCTATGCTTCATAAAAAAACACATATGATTTGAATTTGTTAAGCTTCAGATACACGAATTTTGTTTGCTATCTCAAAAGGTATTATGATGCGTGTGATTGTGAAAGCACACACATATGGACAGATATTTCACAGTATTCGGTGTTCTGCAAAATCGGAGTCTGCCAGCAATTAACCACCTCTCTCATTCCATGAAAACTTCTTCCTATTTATTGGTGTATTTGCTTAGTCTTCCCTCTGCTCGTTTTCCTTTCCCTACATGGAGATTTCCAACCCAGTGTATATAATAGCTGGCATCCATCAAGAGACGCAATTTGCCCGTCTTCCGGGCAGTGTCGTGCGGAGGAGAACTGCTTGTAATTGCCTCTCTCATCATTTACAAAAACAATTCTGAAAAGCAATTGCATCAGTGACAACCTTGATGCTCATGAAAAGGAAGAGGGAGTTGGGGAATGGGAGAGGAGCTTTTCTATTTATGCTGCTATTTACATTGTTCTTTCTTGATGTGAGGGAAACAGCAATTTTTTAAATGTATGACATGTTTTAAAAGCTCCTTACTAAATGGAACTTTAAGCTAAGGGGATTTTACCTACCATTATATTTGTTTTGGGAGGCTAAGGCGAAAATATATGATTAAATGTCTCTGAATATTTGCAAGAGGAAAATAGATAGAATATTTTCCAGGATAGTTTTAAGTTTCTGAAAGAACATGCCTGAAAGCAAGGATTAGATTTCTCAAGATTTATTTGAGGCTTCTTCATTCATTCTTTATATATATATATATATATATATATATATATATACACACACACACATAAATACACACACATATATATACACACACACATATATATACACACACACATATCTATACACAAATATATACTATACAAAAATATTAATATATTAAAAATTTATATATAATATATATTACTTATATATTATATATATACATACATATATACACATATACGTATATATACACAGTATATAATATAAATTTTATAAAGATACATAAAATCTATATCTTTATATAAAATGATCCAAGCAAATGAATTAGAGAAAATAGCATCAAACTCTATAAGAACCCAATTAGGAAAAACACAAAAAGTATAAGTGATAGTATAACAGTAACAGTATTGTAACATATTCCATAAACTTCATCATCAATTCTTCTCATCAGCCTTACCACCCTAACACCACCATCTTTAGATAGTTCATCACACTCTACATTAGCTAATTATTTTGTTTTATTCTCTGTTACTTATAAACTTGAGAAGATAAGGGAGGAAGAACTACTCTAAAAGGTCTAGCAAAAATTCTGTTTGATATATATTTTTTATTCCATAGTTAATAAAAAGTCACTACCTCAGTGTAGGTTTCAAAAACATATTAATTTAGATTCAAGTACTATTGGCATTTGAACTTGGATATGATGCTATGGTTCAAATAGGAAGACTAAATATCAGGCCAAGATTGGAAAGAAAATAAAGGTAGAATTCAGAATCTCTGAATCAATTCAGAAATGATTCATGCATTTCAAAAAAAAATTACTCCTTTATTGTTATAAAATAAGACTACTTATAAAGGAAAAGTCATAAAACCATTAGCAGGAATATTACGGTTTGGCTGTCTCAGGCCAATAAGAAGGACCACCCTTACTTTGTCAGGTACACATCAAGGGAGATCAAGAAATAAAGATGTCAGACGACCCTAAACTTAACAATGAATAAATTACAGGAGAGAAGAGACCAATTCCAGTTAAATTGCTACATTTATTTGACCAGTCATAAAATTAATGGAACACATTTGTATTAGCTATTTCTAATTTAGCTGTTAGCTGGCGCCTCCTACCCAGTTATTTCAGAATAAATTAGATCAGAATAAATTGTAGAGAGCTATCCGAGGTGAGCAAAGGGCATCTGCACCATTACAATATCAGTTCTTTCAAGCTTTCCCCTTGGCACCAGAGAGACATGGCTGCCCCTTCACACCCAGTCTTTTCTAGAGCCTCCCTTAGGCCATATGGTAAAGAACACTGTGGTTAAGGTGATGGGGTCAGAAACTTTGGCTCTGAGTCCAGTTTTGCCACTTGTTAGCTATTTGATCTTCTGCAACTACATAATGATTCCCTCATCCAGAAAATAAAGATAATAAGAGCATTGATCTTAGAGAGCAATTGTAAGGACTAACTGAGATAATGCACACAAAGTGCTAAATTCTAAATTCATGGGTCTAGCCCATGGTGAGCCTTTACCATACGTGTTAGTATTATTATTGTCCTTGCGATTATCATTAGCTTAGTCCAGTAATCGGCAGCCTGTGAGTTTTGAAGTTGTAATCAGGTTGTGCTTCCTTAAAATCAAATATGTGATTCCTTAAAAGCCAAGATGAATTGTGACCAGCTAGCATTTCTGATATCTTTCTACGCTTCCAAATCCTTGACAATCCTGATCTCACAGCTCTCCTATGGGACGGGGGATGGGTTTGTTTTTGCCCACTGAGTGGGCAAGAAAAAAAATTTGATGATTTTTGATCATCAAATGATTTTATAACTCTTACCAGATTGATCAACCCAAATCAAAGAATCAATTTCTTATTAATTTTATCTATGTCATTCCAAGTGTTTATCATGCACCCCTAAATTATAGGTATTTAGGTGTAACTGACAACAACAAGGCCTGGTCCTTGCACTTTGCAACCTACAGAGATTTTCAGGGGTTCCTTTTGAATCAAGCCCAAACATTAACGCAGCTTCTGGACCTGGCTGTTGCTTAACCTATGTGTATTCTACAATCTTGGTGAACTTCTGTCCATTCTTCCTGGACGAGCCAGGCTCCGTCCTGCCCCCAGCTTTTGCACATGCAGGTCCCTCCACCTGAAACTTTTGTATCTTTCTCCCCTGCTCCTCGCAGCCTTTGTCAAACTAGTGCATCTCTGGGGGTTGCTGAAATATCTTTGGGCTTCAAGAGATCTCTGTGATAATTTTTAAATTGTCTTTCCTTTGTTGATAATCTAAAACAACTGGCATAAAAGCATATTTTGGTTCATCTGAACGACCACCTCATCACTACGTACCTCTGCCAAATTGCAGAGCCTGTGTTTGTCCTTAGGATCACATGGGTGCTGTGTACTACTTTAACTGGCAGGGGCCAATGAGGAAAGAATAAAGGTGGTCTTACAGACGAATGATGTCTGAGCCTGGGGGGGGGCCAATGAATGCAATACACTGAGCCTTCTGCATGCACAAAACTTGGCAGTAGTTTGAATAAAGGCTTTTGTGCTGTGTGACAAGTCCACTGTCCCACCACTTTGTTTAAGCCACTGCAAAACCTCCACTCCCGCAGTGTGAACTGAACTCCAAGAGTCAGCACCTTAGCCACCAGGACCATCACCCCATGCCAATGGGGATTTAATCTTGGCAAAATATGGACTATCACATCATCCATTCCATAGAGAGGCAGCAAGCCTCGTGCTCAGGAGCTGAGGCTCCAGATCCAGATGGCCGAGGATGGAGTCCCATTTCCACCCCTCACTAGCTCTGTGACCTTGGACAGGTAACTGAACCTCTCTATGCCTCATTTCCTTCACCTATAAGACGGCGATAATCACAGCACTTACCCCATGGTGGTGTCATGACAGTTCAGTGTAACCCCTCAGAGTGGTGCCTACCATGGGTAAGCCCTCACGAATGTTTTCTGCTATTGTTAACCTGTGCAGTTAGCATGAAAGTTGTTTGTAGGTATTTTGTAATGTTTTTGGATTTATTGATACATTAGAGTCAAAAGCCTAAGGAGTTTCTATGTAGTCTTAGGTTTATACATATTCAAGTAACACTATAATAAAAATAATTTAAGTCTAAACTTGGGATCTGCAAGACTCAAAACCATGACCTAACTCCTCGCTATCTGTCCTGCAGTCTCCATCAACCGTCACTCTTCCTGGAAGTCCCCCTGGCCCTGCTGTGTCCCAGATATGTTCTCCTGTATCCTGGTGGCACCCGGCAATTGTTCTGGTATCACATTTGGCAAGCACGATCGAAATTGCTTGTTTAATTCTTGCCCCCGATCGATTATAAATTCCTTGAGGGCATGGGCCTCTGTAACCCCAGAACTTGACACAGTGGGTGACACTTAACAGGCCTTCAACATCTAGGGAATGAATGAATGTCAGAACCAGTGGCCTGCATTACTGCAATACCCTGATTCTGCTGCAGCTGAGGCTGAATAAGAAGTGAGAGCATAACTGGTAAGGTGGAAGACAGATGAAAATCCTAGACACAAGGGCCCCGATCCTAAAAACATTAAAGAAGAAACACCAAAGGGCTTGACACCATGTAAAGTGGCACGAGCACTGAGTCAAGTGCAGAAAGTTCTCTGACTTAAAGTTCAGAGAAACAAAAAGAATAACACAGAACATTCATTAAGGCCTGAGAATAAGATTCAAATAAATTCATAAGAAAGTAATGACCGTAAAACTTGTCATATAGAGATTTTTTAAAATACATTTGGCTATATTGTTTATGAATGAAGATAGGTTATTTTCATAAATGCTATTTGTTGGTTTACTGATTTATAGAAGGAAAGGCCTGCTTTCCTCCTCTTTAATAAGCTACCCTACACGGATCTACAAGGAGTCCAGAGAACAGTGATTTTCTGTGGGTTTTGTAGCAAAGTTAATCTTCTCCAACTCTCCTCCCCCTCATTTTGATATTTTTTCCTTAGGTGACTCCCCCCTCCATACACTATACACACACACACACACACACACACACACACACACACACGGTTGCTGCCTAATGAACCGTTACTGAAGGGAGCATTCTTATCCCCAGATACGTTGTGACAAAAGAAAGTAGGACATGGCTCTTTGAGGCTGGGACAGTGTTTCCTTCCTCGGGTCCCCAGGACACAGCACAGCCAGTGAAAGGAAAGGCTACTTGAACAACAATGCCATTTCTAAGGCACTTTTGCCACATGGTGTGTGTTTGCATAAACTGAAAGCAAAATAATTACAAGGAAATAAGATTTGCGCTTATTGAGTTAAACATGTTTTTTTGGAAATTTTAAGTAAGTACTGGGTCCAGTTTATCCTTCAAATATCCTTCAAATAGATTCAAATCTGAAAGAAAATCAGAAATTCATGGTTGGCTAAAACTCCCCAAGTTACCCAGAGCTGAAAGAAAAATACCACTGGAAATATTAACACATCACAGGTGAGGTTGGTCTGTGCCTAGACATTCTACTTCTGCTGAATGAACACTGAGCGCTTAGGATCTCCGGCTTTGGGTAGCCACGATCCGGTTGGGAACTCCAGAATCTGGTACCAGGCTCCTGAATCCTCACACAGTGCTCTTTCCACAAAGCTGAGCCCTCCTTTTTCACCTTGCAACGTCCCTGTCAAAAAGATCCTTTGCCTTGAACCCATTCCTTTCTCTTCTGAAAGGAGACCCCCCACTGCTCTTACTCTTAGTCTGCATCCCCCTCCTCTGTCCGCCCTCAGCCTTGTCCCAGCCCGGGCCCTCATCTTTGCTTCCCTGGACATTTGCAAAAGGCTGCCCAGTGTCTGTAGTCTGGACCACCTCCAATACGTCTGGACTGCTATCAGAGCGATCTCTCTTACACGCAAATGGGATCATTAGACAGAACCTACCCTACACACACTTATAATTCTTTAACAGCTTCCCAATGCCTCAGAATGGAGTCCAACTCCTTAGAGGACACACAAGGTCCTTCAAGATGTGGCCCTTCCTGCCTTCCCACCTCGTTGCATTCCCCTCCCCTCCCACATCAGATAATCAAGCCTTAGGAACCTGCTTTCAACACGTTCACGTGGTCGTGCCTTTGTAAATACTGTTTCCTCTTCCTGGAATGTCCTTCCTTGCTTCCCCCTCTATCTTTTTACCTCACACCTTCTGTCCACCTGTCAAACTCCTTCCTTCCTTTTGCTGAACTGTCACCTAATTTGCGGAACCCAGAGAGCCAGTGTTTCCCTGACTGTTCCCACAGCCTGGCCCAAACCTCATCATAACAGACCTCAAAACTCTGCAGTCATCTGCTCTGGCTCTTATCTCCACCGCTAGACTGTGCGCCCAGAAGGTGACTGCAACCCATCACGCCTTCCCTGGACCATCTAAATTTAGGCTTATTCTCAAGCAAGATTTTCAATTCTGTTGCACAACACTTGGCAAATAAAATAGAATTTCTAATATTACACTGCCCTCATATTGTTCTTCCCCTGAAAATTTACGTATTGTTACCCATAGTCTCTGTGATCAAGGCTAAACTCTTTATTCAGGCTTTTAACTCTTTAATTTGGTTCTACTACATATTATTAAGTAACAAAATAATAGTTAACATTTATTGATAGCTTACTATGTTCTAGGCACTGTTCAAAGAGCTGTTAACATGGATTACCTTGTTTAATAACCTTAGCAGATGTATTTATACAACTCATACTCATGTAGATCTTAACCTAGACGAGACAGCTTTACAGGGAATTAAGTCCTTTAATCCTCATAACGAACCTATGAGTAAGTACTATTTTTACTCGCATTTTTCAGATGAGGAAACCAAAGCACAGAGAGCTTGAGCAACAGGCTCAAGGTCACACAGCTCACAAGCAAGGTAGCTTGGATTGGAACCCAGGGGATGCCCACAAAAGCCTGGGCTCCCAACCCACGACATGATACTGCCTCTGGACAAGCACGGCCCCATCACACCCTGTCTGCTCTGTCAGGCCAAACTTTTCCCGGAATGGTACTCTTTTCATCCTTTGTTCCTGCTTTCCTGACTGCTTGGGATGTCTGTCACCCTCTGCTCTACTCAAGTAATTCTCATCCTTCAAAGTCCACCTAAAACTCACCTGCTCCTTGAAGGCTTTTCTGAAAACTCTGGCCACCTTTGAGCTCTCTCCCTCCTGCCTACACCCTACAGCATATATGGTCCACACAAAACATTTTGCCACTTAATACCTGTTTCATTTAGAACTTTATTATGTACTATCTTGCATGGTTCTTTCTCTTAAGTGGGCCTTGGGCCTCCAACAAAATTATGAGCTCCTAGAAGGTACCAACCAGGTAGGTAACTTACTTGTGAAATTTCCCATAGCACCCAGCACTGTGACAGACTCATACAGATGTTTATGTGTTCTTGTTGAATTGAAGTGTAAAATGAAGTCAGGTCCCCCTTCACTATGCAGCAGATTTACTCAATTGTACCCTATAATTACATTATTAAAACTGAGCAAGCACCCTGAATAAATTCTGAATTTGCCCAATTATGTTTTATTTTTCCTGCTTAACTAACATTGAATATCAGAAAGAACAGAAGAATATTAGAGAGCAGAATTAGGAATAAAGTTCAAGTCTCCTTAATTAAAACCATTGAAATAGGTCTCTTTCTGTTATAGCTGAAAAATAAAATTTGTTCTTCCTTGCAACTGTCATTAAAAGTCACTTAATTTAGTTCAAATTTAATCTGTGTTTGGCATAATGGTACAGGTCCACCTTAACTTGGATAAATGGGAACTATCCACTGCATGGCAGAATCCCTTTGGCGGGATTCCCATACGTAGCAATTATTCCACCATATTTTTGCAGTAACCTACTTGGCTGTGTCAGCTCCGCTGGTTATTAAGGTGTTAATCAAAAGCTCATGACCGTATCTTGCAGCCACATGGAGAGGAGTGTTGCCATCCTTATCCACACAGTCAATTTCACCTCCTGAAAGAGATGTTTTAATACAGGATAACATAAGGATTCAGGTTGATTCAGATACTAGGTTCTATGCTAGTCACTCATGTTGACCAAATGTTGATTTCTTTTCTACTCTGTGTGCATCTCTGTTCCCTCTGAAGTAGCAGTATTATTAAATACGCATAGAGGGAAGTCTATTAGAAACGCTTTTGAAAAATCTTTCCATAACGTCTTATTTAAGGATCTGAAATCTTACAGCTAGATTCTTGCTCTGAAGGAAGAATGTAATCAAATTCCATAAAATGTAATTCTGAAGACACACTCAATTTCAATTTTACCTGCTGAATTAAAGACCTGTGTAAATCTTACACCAAAGCATAAGATCCAAAGGGAATACAGAGTTCAGGAAAATATCTTACGTAGTTTGCTTATCTAGTTTAAAATACGAGGAGTAAAATGAGTAAAAGCATAAACTATGAACTGAAAATGTCTATATTTATAAAACCTATCACATTAATCACCTACAGTCCTTTTAATAATATAGTATTTTCATCTTATTTGGTTTTATTTTGCCTTCTTTATCCCCAACTTTTTATTTTACTACATTCCTTTCTTTCTCTCCCCGTTCTGTATATATATGTAAATATAATTGGTCTATTTATTCATTTATTCGAGGAGGCATTTAAAAATAAATTAGATATCATGACATTTCATCCCTAAGAACGAAAACATTCTCCCATGTAACCATAATTCCATCATCATATCCAAGAAATTTAACATTGATACAAAAATTTTATGTAATATACAGTGTATACGCCAATTTCTCCAATTGTCCCAAAAAATGTCCTTTATACCTGTTTCTTAAAAAAAGCCCAGGATCCAACCAAAGATTCTGATAGCGTTTGGTTGTCATGTCTCTTTAGTTTCCTTTCAACTAAAACAATCCTCTTGCCTTTTATTTATGTATTTGTTTATTTACTTTTAGCCTCTCATGTCATTGATATTTCTGGAGGCCAAGCCAGGTGTCGTGTAGAATGTCCGGCATTCTGGAGTTGCCTGATTATTTCCTCACTATTAGATTCAGGCTAAACGTGTTGGCAAGAATACCCCAGAGTTGATGTGTACGTCCCACCGCCTCTCCTCAGCACACACAGAAGGTTATGCCATTACTGGATGATGCAAAGCTTGATTTCTTCAATGGGTACAGAGTTTCAGTTTGGGAAGATGAAAAAGTTCTGAAAATGGAAAATGGTGATGGTTGCACAACAATATGAATGTACTTAGTGCCACTGAACCGTACACTTAAAAATAGTTAAAATGGTAAATTTTATGTTATGTATATTTTACCACAATAAAACAGAGGTTTGATTACTTGGTTAAGGTGATGCCTGCCAGCATTCTCTATTGCAAAAATGCCTTTTCCCCTTTGTAATTAACAAGCAATTTGTGGGGTGATACTTCAAGACTATGCGAATATCCTATTTCTCAACAAGTTTTCTGTAACGATTTTAGCATATACAGGGAGTACTTCCTTCAAAAGTTGCTAGAATTCTTTATTCTGTGTCCTTATGTTACCAATTTAATACACACACTGTAGCTAGGTTCATTTCATTCTGTTTGTTTTCAAAACATTTACTGGGTTTTGATTTAATTTAATTTTATTAATATGCAAAACTTTTACATTTTTCAAAAGTCAAAATTATATTTTTTAAAAGCCTCACTCATTTCTATCCCTTCCACTTCTTCCTCACCCACATCCTGCGGTAATCATTTTCATTACTACTGGTTTATGCTTCCTGTGTTTCTCTGTAAAAATAAGCACATAGACTCTTTTACACCTTGCTTTTTTTTTTTTCACTTAACAATAGATCCTGGAATTTGCTCCTAGAAATCACTTTTTGGAAATATCCCTCGTTTTTGAACAGCTTTACTGTTCTCCATTGCATGGATGTACTAGTTAATACACCAGTCTCTTATGGTGAGCGTTTAGGTTGTAAATGTTATTTTGCTATTATTGGGAACACTGCAGTAAATAATCTCATGCATATGTTGTTTCATATTTGTTGAGTGCTTTTTCAGGGCAAATTCCTAGAAAGGGGATTTCTAGGTCAAAGTGTAAATGAATATGTGGTTTTGCTAGATTTTGCCAAATTTCCCTCTGTAGGCACTGTGCAATTCTGTACTTACAGCAGCAACATCTGAGCATGGCTTTTCCTCTCAGCCTCGTCAAGCTGTTGAATATCTGCCCACTGATGGAGAATTGGTGTCTCAGTGTAATTTTCACTTGCATTTCTCTTAGTAAGGAAGTTGAGCATCTTTTCATATATTGAAGGACCATTTGTTTATCTTTTCCTATAAATTATTTGTTCATTGTTTTTGTCCATTTTTCTAAATGTGTGTGTGTGTGCGCACGCGTGCGCGTGTATGCATGTGTGTGTGGTCTTTTATTCCTTGATTTTTCAAGGGCTCTTAAAATATTTGGGAGATTACCCTTTTATCAGTAATACATGTTGTAAATATTTTTCCCCTAGATTTTCATTTGCCTTTGGTGTTTTTCCTCTAACAAATTTTTTTTGGTAATGTATCAGTCTTTTCTTTTGAGTTAGAAAGCTTTCCCCACAATCTGGCAATAAAGAAATCAGCATGTGAAAATATTTGCAACATGTATTACTGATAAGTGGGTAATCTCCCAAATATTTTAAGAGCCCTTGAAAATCAACAAATAAGGAGGAATCAAGCAGAGGGAGGAATGGGGAGTGACTGCTATTGGGTATGAGGTTTCTTTTTGGGGGTGATGAAATGTTCCAGAATTAGATAATGGCGACAGTTGTAAAACCTTGTGAAAATACTAAAATCCACTGACTTGTATACTTTAAAATGGTAACTTTTATGGTATGTGAATTACATCCCAATTAAAAAGGAAGGGCCTAAAGAAAGCTGCAGGAGAAGGTGAGGAAGTAAAGGAGAGAGAGCAGACCAAGAAGAAAAAAGTACATAGTGTGTACTTGTACTTATGCAAGCTAAGATGCACTTCTACTTTACTAAAGGAAGTGGCTGAACTCTCAGATCATGCTCTTAGCTAGTAAGTATTTTAGAGTAGGCCTCATTAGAAAATTTTGTTTCACAAACTATTCTACATATTTCCCTCAAATCTTGAGCTTTATTCTCATTATCAATTATATTGAACTAAATGAAGCCGATATTTTAAAACTAAAATATACCATTATAAGAGTAGTATATGAATACTACTATGTTTAGTTTGAGAATGTAAAGATTATATGAATGGCTTAGATCAATCCAGAAAGATACTATACACTTGTTTTACATAACTTATTTCTGATTGAGAAAGTAATTTTCTCTTTGTAGAAAATTTAGAAGATGCAGTGAAATACAAAGAAGAAAAGAGAAGTCATCTATAAATTCACTGATTATCCAAGATGGTCAGTATTAATATTCTGGAATATTTCCTTCCATTTGGGAGTGTGTGTGTAGAAATTTCCCATGGTTGATTGAGATCATAGTATAGAAAGAGTTTTGTATCCCACTTTCCCCCTTAATATTACATCACAAACACTTCTCATGTCATTAATTTGTTTCATTAATGTAACTGTAAAGGGCTAGATGACCATTTACAGTATTTAGAGAATTTACTTCACAAGTCTCCAGTTACTAGGCATTTAGGCTATGCCCAAATTTTGCCATTAAGTAAAACACAGGACTGATCGTATTCATTAATAATGTTTATCTACATTTCAGATGATTTCCTTCAGCAACATTTTTAGAAATAGAACTACTGGATCAAAAGTATGAATATTTTTCAGGCCCTTGATAGACACTGGTAAACTGCTTTTTAGAAAGGCTGTGCCCATTTGCTCTCCCCTTTGCAGTATATTTGAGCACTACACCAAAAAGAAGCCAGTGGGAGCCTTCTCAGATCTGGGGAAAGAGCATTAACTTCCAGGCCAAGACACTGTATCTTATAATAGGACCGATATAAAATCTTCACAATAATATCTGCATGGCCCTTCATTCTAAGGAATCTTACTACCATATTATGACCACCAACTCCCTAAGTTTTATTTTCAGCAACCAATATTTCTTCCATCCAGGTACATTGGTAAAACACAGAGTTAGTGAGCAAGAATCTTCGCTACAAAGTGAATACTATCATATTATGACCACCAACTCCCTAAGTTTTATTTTCAGCAAACAACATTTCTTCCATCCAGGTACACTGGTAAAACACAGAGTTAGTGAGCAAGAATCTTTGCTACAAAGTGAAACAATTACCAAATATGTGTAGGCTTTGTAGGGGGGCAAACCCTTTAAAAACTACAATTAGCACATAATGTTTACACAGGACTTAAGATGCTTCACTCTACAGACCCAGACTTCTTTACGCATGTGGAGTTTAACTTGAAAACTCAATCTGCCAATAAATTTGCACATTTTGGGTTTGCAACTTAAGAGCTGTTTACAAAAAGAAAACCCCTCTTTTACTTTGATTGTGACAGAGAAATATAAAATGGCAACTTGAAAACAAATGCTGATCTTTCCTCAAATCTTTGTTTCTGTGGTACAGTAGTTATTTTTAAAACCAGTTGTTCAAATAAATAGATTATGATAATTTCTGTAAAAGTAATAATTACATATCTTTATATATACATTTTTAAATACATAGAAAAATCTAGAAGTTTCGCCAAATTGTCAACAGAAATTCTTGGGATGGATTGCGGAGGCACATTGATGGGGATCATAGAGGATCTCTTTAATGATTTAATTTTATTCTACAGTGAGCATGTACTAATTTTATAATCAAGAAAATAATAAAATTGGTGATTGTAATCTTCTAGGGACTCAAAAGATAGTTCACTATGATCTGAATTTAGAAGTATCCAATTTAGAGCAATCATTTTTATGATTTGATGGTAGCCTTGGGGACAGGCAGCCACCCGGTCTCCATGGATACCTCAGAGCAACCTGGGGTACATGTAACTGTCTAAGAACTGCCCACAGTGGTCGGCCTGGAATGTCCATGCACAGAACTGATCTGGGGAGGCAGATCCCCAGACTTCAGAGAAGCCTCTGCCCTGGACAAACACTACATCACTCCATGTCCTTCCCAGCCAAGAGCCACCAAACCTTTCTTAACAGATGTTAGGGCTTCCATGTTTACCAGCCTCAAATATGCCAAAAATTGGGTAGGGAAAGAGAAGAGTGAAAAATATTAGAAAAGGTGGAAAAAAGGGGCTAAGCTGATAAAGTTTCCTCTTGTTGTTGTTACTATCATTTCTTAAGTCAATTTAAAACTATAAAAATACAGATAATTATCTTCCACATATGCTTCCACATTTGTCACTTAAAATATATTTCAGGAAAACATCATAAATCACTAGAAAAATAAAATAGATACTGTGTATTTGTTATTCAGAAATATATTCTTTATTAACAGAGAACTTGTGGATGAATGAATTTCTATGTTATAGTAACTCCCCAAAGCTTTCCAATATCACTTGAAAATCTTTAAGATTTGCTTGGAATGCAAATTAAATATCTTTACTATTCATCTAAAGATTGCAAGTTAAATGTTGGTAATTGATCATTGATAATTAGCGAGGAAAATAAACATTTGCGAGCTTAGAAGTATGCAGAGTGTGTCAGAAGGGATAATTTATGCAGCATTATCTAAGCATCCATCTGAAATTAGTTTTCCATTGCACAAATAAGAATGGTCATCTTATTAAGTTGCCTTGGAAGAATTGTGAGCCAAAAGGTCAAAAATCTCACAATGAATCATCCTAACTTATCACTTGACTTTTCCTTTTCAAACTCCATTTATTTTTAAAGCTTCTATGAAAAAAACATCAGTTTTGAACTTCTGTAACCTTCTGGACAGGATCTGAGGCAGCTGCCTAGAGCAAACGGCCGGATCAAATGCCTCCTGATGTACTGTATCTCCCCTCATTCTTTTCCTCTCTGACTGTAACAACACAGCTGCAGACGACAAACAATGGGAATGAACAGCACAGGTAGTCTTTGCTTACTAACTAAAAAAAGAAAAGAGGGTTTTTTTTTAATGATTGTCTTACCAAAACTGAATGATTCTGGGAAAAAAAAGTTATTATGAAGAACTAATAACCCTGACTGCAGAGCAGTCAGAGAAGCAGAGAAATGCCATACAAAGCCCAAACACAGAGCGATTTAACGAAACAAACAAACAAACAAACACAAAGAATGTTTCTCAGTAGCATGTTCAGGTGGTTTAGGGAGCCAACTGATGTCCCCATGTGGGACCAGCATTCCGGGTCCTGCTGTGCAGTGAGTCACTCTGGAAGATGGACCCTGGCCATGGGGGTGTGAGCCTCTGGACTTTTCCCAGAAGGAAGCCAACAAACAGGAGGAAAGAAAATGCTTCCTATTCTTCCCCCTTAGGGCATTTTAAAAAATGTCAAATGGAAGAACTCGAAGTTCTGACACGTGTAACGAATGCAAAGAATTATCAGCTGGGAGAAGAGAATGCTAAATCACCCCTTTACAGGGACAACTCTATTCCAAATATAAGTGACTCTTAGAGTAAATAGAATTCAAGTCAAAACAAATTCTTTTAACATGTTATTGTTCATCCAGAGAACACATTCATAAGTGTAGTGGTTGAGAGTTCAGTCTCTAATGTTAGACTGCCTGAGTTCCAGTCTCTGTGCCTCAACATACTTGCCGTATATCCCAACAAACGGGACAACCTCTCTGTCTCAGTTTCCCCATCTCTGAAATGGAGATAATAATAGCACCTCTTTCTCGTGGGTGGTTGAAAGGATTTATGTGGAATGCTTAGCCAAGTGCCTGGCACAGTGTGAACACTCAAGCAATGTTAGCCTTATCATCATACATATTACAGCCACTATATCCTCATCATCTCAGGCCCCTGTATCCTACTCAACCCATAAGCAAGATGCCAGGCCAGCCAAGAATGAGACAGGCTCTGAAACAAGTTCCTTAATCATAGAAGACAAGAGATAGGGTCTCTTTCAGGTCTCGTCTCAACTCAAAAGTCTAGCAAGAATGTGTAGAGAGGGCATGGGAGTCTTCAAGTCCACAGGGATGGCTTTTGGAGAGGTCAAAGCAGCCAGTAGCACTCCCAGCACTGTTGTAAGCACATTAGCATGACACAGGGGAGATGGGTCACCGCCTTGATTCAAAGCAGAAGGCCAGTATGGTCTGGTCCACAGGGATGCACCTGTAGGAAGGCAGTGCTTACAAGGAGAAAAACTGTTCTTTCTCTGATCTGGTGACTGGACTTGAAATTGCTTTAACAAGGAACAAAGCTTTTGATGCCACAGAGCTAAGGCCCATTGATTAAATTCACATTAAATCTTTAAAAATGGATATCAACTATATCCCTAGTTTTGTTTATTTTTAAGGCAGTGGACACTGTTTCTGGAAAAAAATGAGAAATACAGTGGGATGAAGAAAGTGTGCAAAGAAGAGACGCTAGGGTCACTCCCTACCTCCTCTTGTTTACTTCAAGCAAAATAAAATAATTATAGTGGGCTTTTCAATAACGTGAATGTCAAAGGCATGCCATACACTTCAAATTAGAATTAACGGATGTTGTGCAGTTAACTTCCATCTTACCTTTCTTTGCTCACTGGAAACTTATTAGGATTTCTTTTCCCCTATAGTTTCACTGAAATACTTATAAATTTCCTTCACTTTGCTGCAGACACTTTGCTTCCTCAGCATAATTTCCCTGGCTGGTCTTCCATCCAAATGTCAAATGACTTCTTGGTTTTATAATTTGAGTGCCTAAGACATAACTTAGTACCACTAACAATTCAAGTGTATGTTGTCCAAAAGTCTTATAGATGAGAAAAGGATAGGTCCAAGAAAATTGACTAATGCCAGAATTTTGAGAAGTAGAAAAGTAGAAATGTGGGTCAACTAAAGATAGTTTAGGAACTACTGAATTCACCTGTAATGTCAGCATAAAATCTGGAATAAACCTGTTTTTTTTTTAAATTGTCTCTAAGATTTGCTAAGATAACAGAAGCTGTGCCGTCAAGGTCAATGCACTCACAAGACGCCAGCCATGACCCAATAATGGTGACGTGAACCCTGATGTGAGGGGACACTCCCCAGTTCTTCGGCTACAGTGACAACCCGATGGTTCAAGTATATCTTTGTTGTAAATCTGAAAAATTACTGGATTATGTGACTTTCTAAGGTTTCTATGAAGCCTGTGATTTTTATGATCCTTTATATCATGTACTTACCTGCTTTTCCTCTGAGTCACCTCATTTTTCTTGCCTTTGCTCAAGGAGCTTAATGAGTTTTAACTTAGGGAATGAGAGTGAATTCTAAAATTTAAAAATAACTCAGATTTGCTGCTAGAAAACGTATGATCCTTATTTTTATTAGTTTCAGAGTGAAAAGTGCAGGATCTTGAGCCTTATAAGTATATCATTTCCAGTTTCAAAACTACATGTTCATTGACTGACTGGGAATTGACTGTGAAACTTAGCGGCTTTATGTTCTCACTCTAAGCTGGACGGTGATGAAACATTATGAAAGGACGGTGTAAATCAAGGCTTAAACTCTAAAACAGAGCATAATCTTTCACCTTCAGATGAGTGACAACCAAACTCAGTCACACCAGGAAACTATTCAAACACCACCACTGGGGAAGAATCTCTTACCATTCTGAATGAGGGTTTGTGACCGCGTGAACCTTCCGTGGACAGCTGTCATGTGCAGTGGACTTTTACCATCTTTACTCTAAAAAAGGAGAGAGAGAGAAACAATGGACCAGTTTCAGACATCAATCTGAAACATCCCTATGGACACTGCTGGCAAAGCCCTGAAAACATCAATTTAAATATAAAAAAAAAAAAAGTATGATAAAAAATCACAAGAGGTAAAAGATAATTTTGAAAACAAAAAATAAAGTATATATGATATCTCAAGTTACTATATAACATCACATTTTAAAGAAGCTTAGAAAAGTGAAAATTATTTTAGAGAAGAAATGCGAAATTTCTAGTTACTCTGACAATTTTTAAACTGCCCTGTTTCAAACTGAAGCAGTCATCCAAAATGTTTTTTCCTCTCCTGTGATCTAGTGATGAAGAGTTTCCTTCGAGGTCTTTTTTCCAACTTTTGTCTACAGGACATGAAAAAAGACAAATGCTGTGTTAACTTGTTTGGCCTTGTTTGACCTGAAGTTGACAAACTGCTATAAATCATTGCAATTCTCAAAAAGTGACCTGGAACCCGCCACCATTCCCTACATTCTAATTCCATAGAAAAACAACACTTCTGATTGTTCCAAAAGAGAAACACTTGCTTCACTTAACTCATTTGAAATCACAGGACGGAGACATGCAAGGGTTTAGCAAACTGCCATTTTAATGATCACCTGGAAATGTGTGAGGAATTTATACATGTCTTTATTATTTAGATATAAATGATAGAACTCGCTGGCACAGATTAAGGAAAAACATGGAAAATGTACAGAATCTACATACTGATCATCCTTATGCCAAATACCAAAGTCATACACATTTAATTAATAAATAGTTATTTACAGAATTTCTTCTAAAAATAGTAATACTCAAAAGAAAATATTACTGTTATTTTAGACCAAAAGTATCCCCAGTAGAAAGAATGTATTCTTTGATTTGAGTATTGTAAAAATAAATAAATAAAGACGAAGTCTATGTAACTATTATTTTTCTAATTCTTAGGAGAAACATTTTCCTAAGTCTGAGGTTAAAATATAAGATTTCAAAAATGCAAGTTCATTTTTGTGACAAAACCCCTATACTTATACTTTAAAATGCCTCTTTTTAAAAAAAACTCCACAATGGAAAACAAATAATCACTTATACACTAAGTCTTTTTCTGAGCGAACCAAGGACTACCTGCATCTGACTCACCCGGGGTTCTTGTCAGAAATGTGAATTCTGTGCCCTAACCCAGAGCTACTGAATCAGAATTGAGGTAAAAAGATCCTCATTTCTAACTTGCACAGCACACTAAAGTTTAGGAGCCCCTGCTTTAGACTGTGGGCTGGAATAGCTTCTGAAAAAACAAGGTGTTTTTTTTTTTAATTTTATTTATTTATTTTTTTCCCCCAAAGCCCCAGTAGATAGTTGTATGTCATAGCTGCACATCCTTCTAGTTTCTGTATGTGGGACACAGCCTCAGCATGGCCGGAGAAGCAGTGCGTGGGTGCGTGCCCGGGATCCGAACCCGGGCCGCCAGCAGCGGAGCGCGCGTACTTAACCGCCAAGCCATGGGGCCGGCCCTAAAAACACAAGGTTTTAACAGAAGAATTTTTATTATATCCTGTTAAGTCTATTCCTTAGAAAGGAAGAAAGGACTTACACACGATCTGTGCAAAGGGAAGAGTCAATCAGAGCAGTAACTGTATCTTGACTGAAAAAATAATCTTTTTAGTGAAAGGTTCTCAGGTAAATGGAAAAAAAAAAAAGAAATAATAGGATCTTTTCTCTTAATCATATAATCTTATATGATTATAACCTGAATCAGAAAAGATTGAGAAAAGAAGATGGAAGTAAGCTTGAAGCTTTACTGAAATAATATTTTTAGAGGAAAAGGAGCAGCAATCAAGAGAGTGAGGACTCCACAGCATCAATGACCATGAGGCACACAGTGGAGAAGAGCTCCTAAAAGCTGTCTGATTCCAGAGCCTGGGGCTCGGCTGTCAGAACTGTAGACCTTTCAAAGGACTGAAAAGCCTGGGAACTACTTAGGAATAAGGATTTAAAACGTACCCCCTCCAATAAAAAAGTGATGACAGTCCAAGACTGTTCAGGAGAGAGAAAACAGAAATTGCAGAGTTGACATTAGCTTGTCCCTAGGTGGTGCTATTTCTTTAAATTTTGCTCCAATATTTTCTCTTAAATTTAATACGAAAACATAACTAATTAGCATTTAGTTAAATATATACAGAGCCATAAATATTTTAGTGTTTAGACAATATCTTTATAAATATTTAACTAAGCACTTTTCCATGCCTAGAAAAGAGCTTAAAGGCGTCACCAAGGAATAACCACCAACCTGGTGGTCACTCCCTAAACTGCAGCCAGAGAGCCAAAGCAGAAGTAACCAGTTTCTAGGGCGTGCAGTTTACAAGGGTGGTCACATTTCAGGGATAGCAAACACCACACCCTTTTCTCTCTTGGAGTGCCTGTGCATTTGGTAAGGGACAAATAAATAGAGATGACGAAATATAGGTAAAATGCAAAGGATGGCTATATGGTCAGTGATGATACTTGCTTCAGATCTCTCTTTGCAGATCTTTGCCTGGGCTCATCCACCATAGAGGCCAGGCTTTAGCTGATTTTTTTTCTTTTTCCCTCATAGGGATATGGGTGGCAGGAGGTGGAGGAGGTGGGGACAGGAAGCATTAAGAGTATCATGGCAGCCTTTTGGGGGCAGCTTTATTTATACGGTATGGGTATAAAAATAACATTATTTCAAAAAGCCATTGAAAAGCAATGAATATCAAAAGGTAATACTTTTTATTTAGCCTTTACAAGTTAGAACTCAGAATATTCAGGTTGAGATGAGGGACCTTACTGAGTTAAATTATCTGCCTGAGAAATTTTTTATGCAGGGGGACTCGCTGCTGTTTCTAGAACTTCAGACAAAGATAAAACACTCCTTGTAGTCTCAATGGACAGAATATGTTCAGTTCTCTCATTTATTCAAAGCTTTGCTTTATATTTTTTTTTCTTAATTTCTAGTCTCTTTTAAATTTCTAGATGCATTTTCCCATCAGATTTAGGGCTTGGAAAATTTTGTTATTTTGAGAATTTGTTTAATTAAGCAAGGAGCTCTTCTATTGATTTAGGCATGGTTCAGCCATAAGTCAGGAAGGAAAACTAATGAGGATTGAGAACATTTTATGACAAATGTTTGTACTCTTTCAGGGCAGAATCAACATTGTCTGTGGAAGGTTAATCCTTGAACTAAAGGGAGTGCTTCAATTTTCTTGACCACCATTCTCCTCAGAAATCCATTCATGCTTTTCTTCTACTCCTAATGCCTTCTTTCCTCATCCTCCAACATCCCATAAACCTTCCCTAAACGTACAGACATCGTTACTCCCCAGGACCTTGAAGGCATTGTGTTCTCTGCGGCATGGTGCCTCCTGGAGTCACGCAGCTCAGCGGCCCAACTGGAGGGCAATGAAGCCTCTATAGGACACACTAAGGCCAGTCTGAGGCTTGGGGTGTAGGGGGGCAAGATACGGTCAGAAACTCAATAAGGGCTTCCTAGTTCAACGGAAGCACAATCTAAAACCCCGGTTTGAAAAAAGCCAACGTACTTCTATACATGGTCCAATTCTTTTTAATAGTTCTAAAGACCGGAGATGGTACAAGGTTAGCTCAGACATTCATTCCTCTCTTTTCCTCACTTCCTCTCTGAAGTTCCAAGTGCCACGACCTATCACTACTCACTCTTGCCTATTCCAGTTTTCACTTTCAACCTCTGCAGTGCAACCCAATCTATAATTTGGTCCTGGTGTCTATAAAGAAGGGAGCTGTTCCACTTCAGTAGACGTGGGATGGGCTTCAGCTCTGGTGTCTTAGGGCTAAATGATCTCAGGGCCCACGGACAGAAAAGAATTGAGACCATGGGCAGGCTGACTGTTAGTGACCAGGACGTAGGTGCAGGAGGTAGGTAACCCAGGCAGTGTAATTTCTGAATCTTTCTTAGCTGTATCCAGCATGCTTATGTGTTTAGTGCCTTTTTTAACACTTACTTTGAAGGCTTCCAAAAAGCGCCTTAAGATGCTACAGAAATTACAATGTGGTCTGTAATGGAGAAGAAAAATTATTTCATGTTTTCTCATGCTTTTCCTATTTGCAAAATACAAGTGAACCTTCAGTGGATTATTTTATGAAGTATTGTGTCTTTATTATTTTATCAATTAAACCTTTATCAGTTTTATCAATTAAACGATTAAACTAATATTACAAAGTCAAAGACTGGGCCATGGTCAATCTAAGCAAAATGAGAGACTGTCAAACGCGAGCAGGACACACGTCCTTCCATCTCTCTCCACCATCTTATAATTGCTCATGAAGACATCACTTTTAGTGTTTTGTGAGGATAGAGGAAAACAAAGTGAACATGTGGGTATGTATTGGCTACATTTCAATATGCTATTTCCCTAAAACTTTGGAAAATCTAAACAAATACAAACTGTTTTGCAATCTACAAACACTTTCAAAAGCAATGTGGTGTGGAGTGATAACTTCAATTAGAAAGCTACCTCCAGAGTCAGACAGAATGGCTCTATAGAAATGTTAGACAATCTGTGCATCCAGAAGCATCTGGAATAAGTAAGGAGGATCCAAGAGAAGGAAAACGGAGGATGTAGACAAAGTAGATGAAGGGAGACTGAGGGAGAAGGATAGATGTGATTCAAAATCCCATTTACACAAATTAGATGTTACATAAACCCAAGTCTCAGGTTTTCAAAGTGGTGTTTCTTATAGTCTATGGATGATCAGCAGTCCACAGGAAAAAATTAAATACTGAAATTAAGTAATTATGCTTTCCATGTCCATTTTGTGGGGGAGAAGAGAAGGCTGCCATAAACTAATGCACCATGTATAGTTGAAGCTGCTTACCCAGTCTGAACTGATCACTAGTCAGTTACCTGGGAGAAGCAGGCAGGTGTCCCAGACAGTGGCCTTCTAGCCTCAGTATCAGGTACACTGACAGCATCAATGGGCATGTTTCACAGAGGTAATGGAGAGCATCAGACAACTCTGTGAATTAATTAAGTGGAGGCTGGTGAAGAGAGACACTTTGTATAACTTCAATAATTTTCCTTCCTTTGGAGGATTCACAGAATGTCCCTCAGACACCAGACGTGAAGACAAGTGTCACAAGTCTTGGAGATATTGACAATTTGGCCACCTCCTGCCCTTTCACCATCATCCTCTGTGACTTCAACCCCACACGGTAACTCCTTCCCCACCTTGGTCTCTTCGATGCCCGGGAAGACCTTCCTCTTACCTCCATTTAGGACCTTGGATGGGCTCCCCTTACCGGATCTAGAACTCTGAAATTCTCTTCATCCATCCTACTTTTTCTTTTCTGCCTGCTTTCCACCTCCATGAAGACACCATACTGCCCTCTGTCTCCCTCCTGTCTTCTCTAACTCTTCTTTTCTCACCCCTTTCTCTTGCTCTTCCTATTTCTCCCGATCTAAAGAGTGAAGGGTTCCTGGAGTCCTCCCTCCCTCCTCTCCTCTTGATATGATGTCCTCTCTCCTTGGGTGATCTCATCCTTTTCACCAAGTTTCAACTATCAGCAACCTCTTTGTGAATGAGGCAGCCTAAGTTATTTCTCCTATTCTCTACCACTCTCCCTGATAGAGCATCACATTTTCCACTATTGGTTTTCTCAGACTTGCTGTACCAAAGGCTCAAAATCAGCTTCTCAAAAACTAAACTCATCAGTCTTACCTTCTAAGCCTATTCTTTCTCCTGACATCCCTCCTAAAAACAATAATCATTTATCGAGTGTTTACCATGTGGAGGGCACTGTTCTAAGTGATTTAGTGAGATATTTCATTGAATCCTCACAACACTTCCATGAAGAAGATACTGTTGTTTCCCTAATTTTACAGAAAAGCAAAGTGAGACACACAGAAAGGTCGCTTATAATTAAATAACTACTGAAAGTCAAGGCTAGGATTGGAATCGAGGCAGGCTAGCCCCAGAACCGAACACTTAACCACTAGGCTTCACTACCTCCTTAACCAGATTTCAATTCCTACACTCGTCTTCAACTCCTCGTCTCTTGTCCAACTAAATGCTGCTGATTTTGTCTCTGCAAAGTCCCTCCCTTCTGTTGGCTGTCCCGCTCCCCTGTCCTCATCACTCTCAGCCAGACCAGTTTTACGAACTTCCAGTTCTCCCCTACTTGTCCTCTCTCTAGGCCCGCTCTACCTGAATTTTCTTTTCAAAAGAAGGAAAATAGCTTTTCTTTCTTCTGGATATTAAAAAAACACAAGCTCATTGCATCACAATCAGAAGATTAAAACAAAGATATATCAAAGAAACTAAAAACCCAAATCATAATTTGCCCTCTCTGGAGTAAAGTGTTGCTAGGATATTAGTGTATATTCCAGGTACTTTTCTCTTTCTATGCACACACACAGACACATAACTTTTTAAAATTAAAAATTGGATCACATTTACTTATTGCATTTTAATTTTTTTCATTGATAAGAGTGGGTATTATTAGTCTTTTTGATATTTTCCAATCTTAAAGGCAAATATCAATGTATTTGTATTATAAATGTATTAGTTTGCAGTTTTCGAATTACTAGTAATTTTGACTATTTTTCACAGGTTTAATGGATATTGCATTTTTTCTCTTGTCATCTTTGCCCATATTTTTTAGTAGGTTATCAAACCTTTCTTACTGATTTTCATGATCTCTTTATATATTAAACATATTAACTCTTTGCTTATCATGTATATTGCCGATTATTTTCCCTGAGTTGTTCCTCTTTCAATTTTGTTTTTGTCAGGATTTTTGCTTGTTTCCTTTTTTGTTATTTTGTTTTGTTTTGCCATATAAAAGTTTTAAATTTTTATGTAGTCATATAAACAATTTTTTGCCTTTATGTTTTCTGTGTCTGGTGTTCTGTGGCCAGATTACTGTTTCTAATGCTCAGTTCTGGTCACATGACCTCTATAATGATTAGTGGCCCCCACAGCCTATAGAAGCCCAAACCCCTTAGCCAGTAGATATGCATTCCTCCTTGGTCAGGTCACAGTTTATCTTGTTCCTGGCTCCTTTCTTTTATACAATTTATATTCCATTTAATCACAATAAATTGCTATTCTGAAAATTTGTCCCATATTTACACACTATTAGAAATTATAAGAAAAAATATTAAAAGATTTTAATAGTGAATAGAGAAGGTCATTAAAATAGATTGATCCACTATTCTTGAAATTAAACCTGGGAAATAATAATTTTTCAAAAGCAGAAGCAGAACACACCAGGACTTTGCTTCAGGATTCCCATGTGCCTGGGGGAAGGGACGCTGAGGATGAGTACAGGTCACTTGGTGCAGGTTAGGACACTCCACTACAATCTAAATGCATCCAAGTGATGTAACCCACATCACGCAGGCTGTGTGCATAAGCTCCTCCCGGTTATCTGTTACAGTGAGCTGAGTAGTTACCTAAGTTTTACCCAGAGCTTTTCCTATCCAGAACTCCCAACCCCTTTGCTCATGCTGTTCTCTCTGTCTGGAATGCCTTCTCTCCAATTCCCTCTGATCCCTCCTCATCTCATCTGATATCGATCTTCTGAGTCTCAGCTCAAAAGCAATCTCCATTTTTGATGCCCAAGTAAGAAGCAAGTGTTGACATGAACGCTTTATTACTCTCTCATGCCACTCATCCCACTCTCTCTTGCCTCCTGATTATCTGAGTGCATTATCTCCTTACCATATTGGAAATTCCTTGAGGGCAGAGATCACATCTCATCGTGGAGCACTCCCCCAGTACCAAACAGGGGCACTAGGCAGTTCTGAGTAAGTTTGCTAAATAAAGGAATCACCATTAAGACCTGTTAATGTTACATCATTGAAGCCACTGTCTGGGGTTTACTATAGGAAGGCATCTGAGAAACTCCGTGGAGGCCCATGCCAGGGTTGGAAACAGATCTGAGATCATTAGATTAGGCCATGCTTTTGATGCTCAGCAGCTCTGCCCTATCAGCTCCACATTCACTTCAGTATTAGAATCTGGGCCAAGTCAACATCCCTGAGACCCAGTATTTGCTCTGGAACATTCACTGAGCTACCAAGGGCACATGGGTAGAACTTCAGTGCCTTCCAGCCAGTACCTCCACTCCTGCAGAAACAACACAGCTAAGTTTCTACAGCATCCCAATACTGGATAAGGCTATGGGATTCAAGGTACTCAGAATTACAATTCACTGAAATACGACACAATTTACAGCAGTTGATTTTGCTCAGACAGAGGCTCAATGCAAAGGCATTGAACACTGAGAGAGACTAAGAGTGTCATACCTGGATGTTAACATCCGCCCCATTGTTTACGAGCAGTTCAAGACACAAAGCACCATGTGTGGAGGCAGCAGCAAAATGCAAAGGGGTGAACCCACTGTTGTTGGGCTGGTTCACGTTAGCACCATAGTCGGTCAGCTCGTTGACCACAGCATCCTGCCCGTTGTAGCAGGCCAAGTGAAGGGCCGTGTTTCCATACACGTTGATTTCATCGATCTGTGAAGGAGTCCAACACAGGGCCATTAAAATCACTGGAGCCAATTTACCCCATTTTCCACAAAAAGCCTAATGGCTGAGCCAAAGAAAGGAAATGTAATTATTCAGAGCTTACTCATGCCCCAGCGTGGTCACCCGGCAATGCTTGTCACCCCAGGTAAAGATCAGCAAAAAGTGAATGTGAAAAAAAGTGGACCGGGGAGGAAGAGTGAGAGATCTCAACTTGTGGAGAGACGTTTTCAGCTAGGGAGGGCAAAAAGTGAAAGGTGAAGCTGCCTTGAAATACCAGAGGAATAGTCTGAATTAGGAGAGCAAGAAAAGAGCCTGAAACCCAACAGGGAACACGAAGAGAGGGGCGGGAGATGAGCAGGGAGGTGCTGTGGAGCCCAGACCCAGACATTGGGCTCAGAAGCTGCTCTGGGCATATCTCGGCAGCCAGACACCTTACAAGGCCGCATTCTAGCAGCAGAGCCAGGGAGCCATCCTGGGTGTTAGCACATGGCTCTCTCTTGCCTTCCCAGACCTGCCCCGGCTGCTGGGTTTCACCACCACGGTCTCAGTACCGCAACTTGGTTTTCCTCTCCTCCAGGGACAGGGATGGTCCAGAGCCTCTGCACTGCCCTGTTCTGCTAGCTGAAGAAGCACAGGGTCAGGCTGACCCTCCAGCTCAGTGCTGGACACTTCTGCCCTTTGTCCCAGCCATTCATTCATTTCTGCTTGTAAGCCACAATTTAGACAGCTAGACTCTGAAGGTGGGATGAAGAACTCTAGCCAGTCTTTTAAAAATGACTGGTTAACATGTACCACGTATAACATATATATGTTTAAATATTTCTCTATCTATCTTGATATAGAAAGTTAGTCTGTTTCTGGTCTTCCACTACTTAATATATGCCCCCATTGCCCTTCATCTGTTGCCTAGGTAAACTCAAAAAGATAGGATGCCAGAAAATGAAGGATTTTTTCCTCTTGAATTAAAATGCAAACAGGATTTAATTTCAGAACAACAGAAACCCCACAGTTCCACCATGGGGTGGTGCATGCCTCCTGGCTCACCTCCACCCCCAGATTCAGGAGCTGTTTGACAACGTTGATCTGTCCGTTGGAGGCCGCAGCGTGCAGCGGGGTGTAACCCTTCTTATCCTTACACGTCACTTCTGCGCCATGGGTAATCAGCAAGATCACCACGTCCAGGTGGCCTTTACAAACAAAGCAGCAGAAAATGTTGTTAACTTTTATAGGACAATTCAACCATTCCACCTAAATTATCACTGTTAGCTTTTATGGCCACCAGCATTTTGCTGAGCTATTTATAAAAAGCAGGTTCATGGTAAATATTCAACAAATATTTAGTGAGCCCCACTATGTGCACCTATTACTTTATGTCAGTTCTGTGGGAACAAAAGATGATGCATACGGAAGCCTTCTCTTCAAGGCGATCAGGTAGAAGTGATGCCCATTCACAAATAAATACTAACAAGGTCCTGCTAATATGTCAGTACCACAGCCTAAAAAAATATGTTAAAATGAAAGCAATGCTTTCAAAACCAATTGCCATTCCTCACTGAAAAGTCTAACAATGACAATTTGGTTTGGAAAAACTAACAAAAGAAAAAAATCAATTAATCAGAATGACTCCAGATTATTGTTAAATCATAAGAAATTGCGGCTATTTGACCATATTTTTACCCAGAAAAAGGCAGTCTCATATGGTTCAACTTAAAAATATTCTCGTGAATTACTAGCTAAACAGAAAACCCTTTTTAGTTTCAACTCCCATTGGCATATTTTCTAGAATATTTTCCTTTGTTCCCTATCTCACCATACATAGTATGATAAATGTATTTGAACTTTATTTTGTGACTGAAGATTGTTTGATGCCTTAGGGTCATTGCTCTAAATAAACACGGTTGATAATTGAAGGAGAGAAGATGAGTACTGACTCCAGGGTCTAAAATGTGCGTGTCGTGTGTGTGTGTGTGTGTGTGTGTGTGTATGAGAGAGAGAGGTGTGTGTGCATGTATGTGTGAGGGTGAGAGAAGTGTGTGAGAGAGGTGTGTGTGTGAGGTGTTTGTATGTGTGTGTGAGAGAGATGTGTGTGTGTATATGTGAGAGAGAGAGAGAGGTGTGTGTGTGAGAGAGACAGAGAGACGTGTATATGTATGCGTGTGAGAGAGATGTGTGTGTGTATATGTGTGAGAGAGAGAGAGGTGTGTGTGTGTGAGACAGAGACGTGTGTATGTGTGTGTGTGAGAGAGATATACGTGTCTATATGTGTGTGAGAGAGAGAGGTGAGTGTGTGTGAGACAGAGATGTGTGTGTATGTGTGTGTGTGAGAGAGAGATGTGTGTGTGAGACAGAGACAGAGAGTTTGGCCTTGGCTTGTTTTATTAAAATTTGACTTTTTCCCCAAGACTTGTACATAGAAAAAATTATTTTCAATTCCAAGTGGTGCTATCTTAGGCTTAAGCGGTGCTATCTTTTGTCTTGGTTTTGTCCTTTATTTCCTAAAGATAGTCATCTATATATTTTTTCCTATTTCTATCCTGATAACACACAAAATAATGACTTTACTTCTTTAAAGAAATTCTACACAGATGTTTTAACTATACATCAGCAAACAATAAACTTGAAACCCCAGGTTCTCTGAGTCCCATCTCAACCAGCTTAGCGTGTGCTCTGCCTACACATGATCTGGCAAATGTACGTTGGCTCCAGTCCTACAGGCACCAGGTAGACATGCAACCTGCTTCAGTTAACTCAAAAGTCCACGTCACCTTAAAAAAAGTGATAACACTTGCAAAATCTTAAGATTCTGGTTTTTTAAGCCCAAAGATTTATTCAGACCCATTGATAGCCACATCATTTATTTCATCCCTGCCCCAACCCACTCTCTTTTCTCTCCCCACAATTAATGTTATTGTTTTTTACGATGATAAAAGGCTGGTGTGCTTGTTAAAAAGGATTCAGAAAAGGCAAAAAGGTGTCAAAAGGAAACCATCCCCAATCCCCAATCCCTGGAGATAATCACTTAACGTTTCAGTGTAAATATATCCCTGATTGCTTTTATTGTATAGATTATTTTTTGTAAAAATGAGGATCATATTATTCATACTGTGTTATGCTCTGTTTTCACTTAACATATCACAGAGTCTTTTCTGTTCATAAAAACTAATGACACCATCACTGGAGTTACTGCATAGCGTCCCATTGTGTAGATCTTCCATAATTTACCAACACAATCTCCTGTGGATGGGCATTCAGGTTGTTTATAACTTGGTGCTGATAGAATCCTGTCTGCTTTTCTAGTTGCAGGATGTTCTCCAATTAGAAACACAAAGGAAGGATCTTAGTTCTTCATTTCCCACAAGTCTACACTGAGAATAAACTCTGTGAGGTCCATCATTTGTCAGTGGTATTGGTGCCAACAAAAGTAAAAAGGGAAAATGTAGAAATATGATTTCTTCCTTTATCTCTTGGACGCAAGCTGGCAACGCGAGGACCGCAAGCGCCAGATTTGTGGGCCGTGGATCAGAGGGCAACGCACGGTGACTCTGGTCACTTCAACCTATGTAACAGCCAAGGGTTGTCCTTTCTTCCTTCCTTTTTGTTACTTTCAAAAATATTTATAAACAAAAAGACAAATGGGATTTATCTCCTTGCCTTGCTAGCCAATCCTCTTTCTTTGTAAACACCTTATTTTGCTGCCATAATAAGTTAAAATAAGCACAATCTGTGCAGCTTTCCAATCCAGATTGAAACACATTCAATGAGGTCCAGGCCATGATTCATGCCTCCTCCCCTTTGTAGGATAAATAAATCTCTGACAAAGCAACCACCCAACTAGAGTGCTCTGTGCATGCCAGTAAAATGGACTGAATCTCAATTCAAATGAATCCCGAGGTTGAAAAGAAGTCAGACTTGCCCAAGAAAAAACCCACATGGTCATTGAGAGACCTGTGGCCTCTTTCGTTAAGGTTATCCACACTTTGCTTTTCATTCACAGAATCCTTACCCATATATGCTGCCCAGTGCAGAGCACGCCGGTCCTTCTTGTCGAATGCGTTGATGTTGGCCCCTTTGGCCAAGAGTAAATTGACCATCTGAAAGATAACCAACAATGAAATCAAGTGTACACTCTGTAATGGTGAGGGCTCCTCACCACCTGCAGGTGATCTGAGCCAAATTAACGTCCAATCTAAAGGCAGGTCAGAGATCTGGGTTCAAACAGAGTAGGAAGATGATGTCACAGCCAGCCCTGTGGCATGTGTGTTAGAGGAAAAGACTGAGGTGACGGCTACTTTTTCAATTCATTGTGGCTCTAAATTTAAAAATAGGTGTAGTTGCCTAAAGTTTGCTGTACAAATATTGTCATATTCTCTAAAAGTCTCAGCAATAAGATAAGGTGCCACGTGGGGCTAAGAGGGTCTGTAGGGAGGATTCTTGTTCCCAATGACGAGGACACGCACCTCCACATGGCCGTTCAGAGCAGCATGGTGTAAGGCTGTGCGTCCCCCTCGGTCGGAGACGTTGACACTGCTCAGCAGGGGAATGATCACTTCTGCACACTTGACAGCCTTATTGGCTGCTGCCACGTGGAGGGGAGTCTGCCAGTTCTTGTCCCTCGCATTGACATCAGCCGAGTGCTTAATCAATACTTGCACTGCTTCCTACAACAAAAGCAGAGGTTGCAGGGGTCACTGACAAATGATCAATCAAGACTTACTGGGTGTAAGATGCTTCACCAAGCCCTGCAACTAGGAAAGGGAAGGCTCCCTGCCTCACAGCCTGGCTCAAGATGTATGTTCTTCTGAGACAAGGAAGGTAACATGTGATAAAGATCAAAAGAGTAGCACATGTTAACACAGATTCCCTTTACCTTTCTTTGTTAGGCCAAGAGCCCTGGAACATCTCCAAAACCAAGTAAACCTTCTGAGTTTAAGGTTTCCTTACAAAGTATAAGGTATCCTTAGGCAAAACGAGAGCATTCTTGTGCCAGTGTGCACACCAGGGTAAAATATCCAGAGGCCAAAAGAGCCCCAGAGATCATCTAAGGTTGGAGGAGGTTGTCAACAAGCCGCCATCTTGCAAAGCCAAAGGCCTCAAAGCCCTTCAGACCTTCCTGAATCAATGTGTAAATCTTTGGTTCTCTCGGCCAACATCTTCCCCCTCACTGTGTGATCAGTAAGCAGTCCAGGGAAGAGGATGACTGTTACTACCTCAACTTGAAGCTACAAAGCTGTTCCGTCTTTCCCCAGCCTTTTCCACGTTATAATGGGGTAACTTCTTTTCTACTGTTCAATTCCTTCACCTTTATTGAGCCTCCCCCTTTTTATTTTCCTTTTATTGGCCTAATCAGCTCACGAGCCTCTTGAACTATAGCTCTCAATGCGGCTGTGCACTGGAATCACCTGGGGAGCTCTTAAAAATGCAGATGCCCAGTCCCACCCCAGAGATTCTAACTGGCCTCAGAATTTCTGTAAAGTTCCCTGGGGACTTTGTTGTGCAGCCAAGATTGAGGACAGTCTTCTGTTCAATCAAGTGAATGATATAGCTTCTCTCGAGAAGGGAATGGCTGTCTGTTGTGTCCCTTTACTTCTAGACACATCCCTGGACCAGTCAGTGGGGCTCCTTTATGGACATCTTGTCAATGTGGCATCAATAAGCCAAGGAAAGGCATTAGTACCACACTCCTGCCACCCTTCATGGACCAAGAACTCACCCTTGTTCACCTTAATCCCCACAGGCCTGGACTGTCCAATCTACTTTATCATGCAGGTACAGAAAAGTGTCCCCAGGCAGTAGATAATTCGAACTCTCAAATTCACACTATTATCAGGGACATAAATGATGAAATAAAAAGAATGTTCCATGAATCAGTGGTAGCAACATACTGAGAAAAATGGCCAACTTGGACAATAGAATGAGAGCAAAAAGAAATTAACTTTGCGAATTAGAGAATACAGTTTAAACAAACAGCGTGACTCCATTTAGATGCTATAAGTAAAGGGCAACAAATTTACAGGGCCACACAAACAAACAATTTGTTAAGATTACCAAAGAGGGGAAAAAAAGATCTATGCCACCCACCCTCAGCAAGACTGGCAATAAAGTAATGATTACTAAATATTCCTTGGCCCATTTTAGAGTGAAACTTGTACATGTGTTACTAATGCTCACCTACTATGTGTGAATCATTGCTAGGACTATGGAAGATTGAAAGAAACATTAGCCAGGCTCTATTGCAAAAACTAGCTGAGAGAACAAAAACTAAACAAAAGAAAAGCTAAATCACAATATAAGCATCAAGATTTAAATAAGAAAAAATATTTTTATCAACTTTGGTCTCAAACTTTGTGAGGTTTATGTAGATGCACAGACAATCTATTGTGATGTGGGAAGAAAATATTGGAACCTCCATTTATATTTATTTTCCTTAAAAAGGAAAGCATTTTAGCTGGTAGTTAACTTCTGGGTTGGCATTGTGCCCTCTGTCAGCTCCACAGAGGATCTTGCCTCACAGTATTCGAGATGCCCTCAGGGAAGAGTGGGGCTTCCACAAAGCTGTGGGGGTGGGGCTTGCCCTCTCCATTCATTACTTTAAGTGCACTGAAACGTACAGAGATGGGCCTGCCACGTCCCATGTTACGTATTACATTGTAATCTGTACACTTAAACTAAAAACATCCTAAAATGGACAAGATTTATGCAAGGAACCCACGAATTAAAGATGATAATACCAATGCAAGCATAAATAATGTGGAAGTCACAGAGCTAACACTTCTACTCCCAATAAAAGCTTTCTATCACCTATATTACAAGGTAAAAGTAATGACAAATTTAATCAGATCTGACAAGAGCTTGGACAAAACAGAGAAACATCATCAGAAGTCTATTATCTACATGGTTATGTAAGACTATGATAAATGAAAAGCCTCACCCTAAATATATTGTGCCTTGAAATATTAGCTAATGATAGTAGTTCCTTTACTATATAACTTATAAAGAAATGAGATGCATATTTTGAAGATGCATGCTGAAAAAGTTTTGCAGACATATGGCCAAAAAGGTTGGAGATAAGCATCTCAAAACAATACTATACAAAATGGTATAGTATCCTTTTCACACATTCACAACAAAATAACAATACATTCTCTCACTTTAATACCTTTGCCTTGTGTGTTGATATTGTACAGATTATTGCTTTGCATTAAATATTATGTAAATTCAGGATTGACTAACAAAACAGAAAATTTAAAGGAACATTTCACAAATTTTTACAATTTGGAGATAAGACCAATGAATTCACGAGAAATTTGTTTTTAAAAGGTAACAAGATGTGATTACTTTTAGCGTAATTCAGACGAGGTGAATGAGATATTACCTAGGAGAGGCTCTATTTTTAAATGAATATTTAGGAATGATTTGCATTTCACACAAAGCAACAGGTTAAGCAAAGAAAATATATATTTATATGCCAGTTATAGTTTATATACAAATAAATGCTCTTAGAGTTTGTGTGTGTGTGGAGAACCTATATTCTTAAATAGGCAATACTTCTAAAAATATTTTAATCACAGATAAATTTTGGTCTTTTTTTTTTTTGGTGAGGAAGATTGTCTCTGAGCTAACATCTGTGCCGATCTTCCTCAATTTTGTACGTGGGATGCTGCCACAGCATGGCTTGATGAGCAGTGTGTAGGTCCGCACCTAGGATCCAAACCCGTGAACCCCAGGCCACTGAAGCAGAGCGCATGAACTTAACCACTATGCCACCAGGCCGGCCCCTGGTCTGTTTTTATAAATAAAGTTTTACCGGAACACAGCCTCATTTATTTGTTTACATATTATCTATGGTTGCTTGTGAATTATAACAGGAGACTTAAATATTTGTGACAGAGACCATATGTAGCCATGAAAGCCTAAAATATTGACTATCTGGCTATTTATGGAAAAAGTTTGCAGACCCCCTGGTCCAGTTCCTTGTTTGAATTACCACAAACTGCAAATTATCAAATCCGGTTAAAAGAAAATTTTGTTCTATTTACCAGCATGAAAAAATACTGTTTTAAATCCAAATAGTCTTCTAGGGAGGGCAGGTCCTGTTAAAAGAGTCAGAGGCCTCTTGCTATGTGGTGGGGGGTCCACAGTGAATTTGGGAGGGGATGTACAGAGCTGCATTGCTCTGCATAACCAAGTGAGAAGCATTTGGAGCTCGGCAGGAAGGAAGGGGCGAGGACAGAGAGAGAGGAGAGAGGGCGTGGGCCCTGCACCCCTGGGCAGAGGTGTACGTCTGGGCCTGGGCGGGAACAGTCAGCAGGCCAAGAGGGAAGAGGGGAGAGCTGATTCATAAACCAAACGGGTGCAGCAGGAGCAGGCATTCGCTGGGTTTACGGAGCTTATGGAGCCAGGCAACCCAAAACTTAAACCTCCAGGGATTCTCTGGATCGTCGGGAGAAGATTAGACTTGCACAAGACCTGGCGTGTAGTTTCCAGCCAGTCCCATCTGTTTAGAAGGGAAGGTGCCCCTGACCAACAGCTGGGTTACACCTAAAGAGTCAGAAAAGGAAAAGGTTCAAGTTCACTGATCAGATGGGAAAAAAGAAGAAGTGGGTAGGGTCTCTAATAATCTCTTTCCATGTGAACTTTAGGCCATTTCCACGAGTGCCAATCTCACCACAACCGTCTTTCACACCAACACTCACCTTTACAGCTCAAGGACACCTAGAATAACCACTACTTTTATTTCTCTACTTTTATAAACTGTTGTAACTTTGCCATTCTTCATTTTTATTTCCACACCTGCGTATGTACTGAGTTGCATAGTTTTCATCTTACTTGACAAGAAAGGACTCTATCAAGAAATACTTAGTATACAAACGAGGGGTTCTTACTTAATTTCCAAGGATTAACTTTTTTTTTTAATGAAAATACAAGTAGTCTAAAATGATTATGAAATTAACTTCACAGACATATAGGATATTAGAAATGGAGAAGGCCTCAGGGGTCATCTAGGCTGATCCCTCATTTGACGGGCAGCTTCATTCTACAGGCACGATGACCGAAACCCAGGGCAAAGACCAGCCAGTCTGGCTGACCGAAGGGCTCAGGCACTTGCTACCAGGCCAGAGCTTACTCCGTGGACAGCATCAGCCAAGCAGGCTGACATAATTACTTTTAAATGTTAATTCTCCTTAGTTATTTACATTTTTAAACTCTGAAGTTTTAGCCTGCCAAACTAGCTTAATACATTTAATAGAAATTTAATATAATATTTTGGCAAAAACAAAGCTTTGATTTAAAAAGACAATAATTTCCTTTTTTAAAATTTCATTTCTTTTTCAAAAATTTTAACATTGGAAGCACTTTAATTCAGTTTGATGACAGAGTAATTTTATGGTTATTTAGGGAATTAATGATTTTCGTAATCAAAAGAAGTCTCTCTTTTCTTGTATCACACATTGGCTAAAAAATTAGTATCTGGGAGTTTGCCCTGACAAAAATTTACAAGGTAAAAAAGAAACTAATGTGAAGGAAGGGAAGCTGAACACTTTCTGAATCAAGAAAAGATACTTAAACAGAACTTCTCCAACTGGGGGGGGGGGGCAAAAATAGGTGAAGGGAGTCAAAAGATACAAACTTCCAGTTACAAAATAAATAAGTCCTGGGG